TTTTTTTTGCGAAAAACAGAATATTCCAGCCCACGCTCTTGGGCCTTTTGATGTCGTACTTTAGACCGGCGACGACGACAACGACGGGCCAAGCTTACGCGTACGCGGCCGCCCTCGTCGTGTCGCTGGTTTTGCAGGCAATGTTCGTGCGCCACGGGTACTTTGGACTGAACAGGATCGGCATGCGGGCGAGGATAGCCTGTTCCAGCCTCGTGTACAGAAAAGTGGGTGTATTTTCATGTACATGTGTGTATGTGTATTAAAAGGATAAAAACTATACTTTTGTTTCGGGCGTCAGATAACGCGATTGTCGTGCAGCGCGGCGAGAAAAACGAGCGCCGGTGCTGTGATAAATTTGTTGTCGAACGACGTCGCCTACTTCGAGACGTTGACGGCTTACCTGCCCTTCCTGTGGATAACCCCGGTTCACCTGTTGGTGGCCACGTATTTGATTTGGCGGTACATTGGCGCCGCGTCCCTCGTCGGCATCGCCCTCATGGTCCTTCAGAGCATCCCGCTCCAGAGTATGCGCGTACACAGTTTTTTCAAATTTAATGGTGAATGGCGATTAAAGGTAAAAAATTTTTTAAAAGTTTTTCTTTATAGAATATCATCCAAGCTGCGCTCGAAATTGTCCGCGCGGACGGACAAGAGGATATCCCTGATCGGCGAAGTCATCGGTGGCATCGGCACCATCAAAATGCACGTCTGGGAGCGGCCCTTCGAAGAGCTCGTGTACGCTTACAGAAAGTGAGTCAACACGCGGTATTTTTCTTTTTTTTCTTTTTTTTTTTTTTCATTTCATTTGAAAATAAAAAACTTTTGTTTTCAAGGCAAGAGATACGCGTGTACCTCAAGAGAGCGTACGTGGCGTCGTTGATACCCGCTATCGGCGCTTTCGTGTACCGCGTGTCCGCGTTTTTCACGGTACTGGCGTACACCTTGAAAAACGACATCATGCCGGCCGAAAAAATTGTACCCGTGGCCCAGCACTTGTTTAATTTGAGGATCAAATCTTTCACCAACGCCATTAAATCGAACGCCGACGTCAACGTCTCGATGCGACGGATCGAGGTAAGCCTTCTTTCCCCCCCCCCTCTTTTACCTTCCCATAACAATAATCATCCCGCAGAACTTTTTACTCCTCGACGAAGTCGGATCGAGAGTTGATAAACTCGATTGTGGAAGCGGCGATACAAGCGTGTCGATAAACAACGTGGTGATCACTCGGGAGCCCGGTGTAACGGACAAGAGCAACGGTGGACTGACAATCGACGTGGGCACGGGCAAGCTTTGCGCCGTATCGGGCAAAGTTGGATCCGGAAAGAGTAGCCTGTTGAAGTTGATGCTGGGGGAGTTGCAACCGGTTTCCGGGCACGTGGCGGTTCGCGGGCGGGTTTCCTACGCCGGTCAGGAGCCGTGGCTGTTCAGCGGCTCGATCCGGGAGAACATCGTTTTCGGCGACACCTTCGACGAGGAGCGGTACATCCGAGCCGTGGAGGCTTGCGCGCTGGCCGAGGACTTTGATCGGTTGGCCCACGGGGACAAGACGCTCGTCGGCGAACGAGGCTCCGCCTTGAGTGGCGGTCAATGCACCAGAATCAACTTGTGCAGAGCTGTTTACCGAGACGCCGATGTTTACTTGTTGGACGATCCCTTCTCGGCCACCGACACCACGGTGAACCAAATACTTTTCGAAAAGTGCATAAATGGCCTGTTGAGGGATAAAACTCGAGTCCTCGTGACTCACGGTTTGCAGCACTTGAGCGACGACGACCACGTGATATTGCTCGAGCAGGTGAGCATCGCCGGTTAAGCATACTTATAGAGTCGAGGAGAGATGATAGGATTTGGCTTTTCGATGTTTGCAAGTTTTGCTGATTTTTAGGGCAGGGTTGAGTTTCAGGGCTCGTTATCGGACTTGAAAAAGAGCGACCTGTCGGCCAGATACGCCTACTGCGGCGCGTCGATCGGCAAACCGGAGAATCCAGAGTCAAAGGAAGATATCGACCCAAGTTGCGGCAGAGTGTCCCTCGTGCCTTCCAAGTCATGCGAGGAGCCCAAGGAGACGGAGGAGCTGATCGCGAGGGACAAAATCGACAAGTCCCTCTACTGGAAGTACATCCGCGCGAGCGACTCCCACTGCACGATATTTTGGCTGCTTTTGTTCTTCACGGTGGCCCTACTCTCGAGTTCCGGCTTCGACTACTGGATCGTCGCGTGGACCAAGCGGGAGGAGACGCGTCTGCGAGACGTCGACAACGATCAACCGGCCGCGTCGTCCTCTTACGTTCGAGTGTTGCTGTACGTGTGCGGCAGTTTGCTCGGCACCCTCGTCGTCTCGTCCGTCGTCAAGAACGTCCTGTCCTACAAGGTCCTGCTCGACGCCAACAAAAAAATACACAACGGCATGTTCGCCTCGTTGGTTCGAGCCCCCCTCTGGTTCTTCCAGGTCAACCCCGCGGGTGAGTGGAATATTTTCGTGTGTTAATTTCGTTGTGCGCATTGGTGCCTCGACTTTGACGTGGAAAACGATGGTATGGTGTCGTTGCAGGTCGGATATTGAATCGGTTCTCCAAGGACACGGGAGCCGCGGACGAGGTGTTTACGAGAGTGGTATTCGACTCGGTCGACTTGTTGTTCGTCAACGTGGCGATAATACTCCCGATTTTGGTTGCCGATTGGAAAAATGCGCTCCCAATGCTCCTCGTCGCCTGCGTCCTCTTCAAACTGAGCGAACTTTACGTCCCGACCGCCCAGGCCATCAGAAGACTCGAGGGAAATGGTAAAAAACACACATCTACAACGTGTACACGTGAAAAACTCCCACAAAACGCGTATGCTTGTACGTTTTCCCTCGCAGCTAAAAGTCCGGTGCTGTCGATCGCGGCCTCGTCCCTGTCGTCGGGCATATTGACGATCCGATCGTGCGGGGCGGAAAAGATCGTCCGGCGGACCTTCGACTCTCGCCAGGACCGGCACACGGCAGCTCACTTCCTCGGCGTCGCTGCAAATTCGGCCTTCAGCCTCTGGGCGGAGCTACTGGTGGGCGGCCTCTTCGTCCTGGCGGTCTTCCGCTACCTCTGCCTCGAGAGCCCCGAAGAGCGAAGATCGGCCAGCGACGTTGGCCTCGTTCTCATGCAGTTGCTCAAGGTCTCGATGATGCTGCAGTTCGCCATGAGACAGGTATCCGAGACGATGGTCCAAATGGCCAATGTCGAGCGCATGTTCCAGTTTACCGAGTTGGAGCGCGAGGGCCAGCCCAACGGCGCTTACCGATCAAAGATTGAAAAGGCTTGGCCCACGCGGGGAGAATTGGTCTTTGAGAACGTGTCTCTGAGGCACAGCGACCGAAAGGGCGAGGAGCCCGTACTCAGGAACTTGAACTTCAAAATCGAGCCCCGAATGAAGGTGAGCGCGGATGTATAACAACAACATGATGGTATACCAATTAATACCTGTGGGTGCCGATTTTTACGTCGTGTATAAACGTTGCAGGTTGGTGTGGTCGGTCGTACCGGGGCTGGTAAGTCGTCCTTGATATCGGCTGTCATGCGGCTCGCAAGAACCGAGGGCCGACTGATGATCGATGGCTTGGACGTCGGGACGATCGGTTTGTCCGATCTTCGCTCAAAGGTATCGGTAATACAACAGGAGCCGATATTATTTTCCGTGCCGTTGCGCGACAATGTCGATCCTTTTCACGAGTACGACGACGCTAGTCTGTGGTCCGCCCTTCGGGAGGTCGGGCTCGACAGGACGTTCGAGTCGTTGGACCAACCGATCAGCCGCGCTGGTGCCGATCTCAGTGCCGGTCAGCGCCAACTGCTGTGTCTCGTTCGAGCTGTCGTGAAAAACGACAAAAACAAAATTGTCGTTCTCGACGAAGCCACTGCCAACGTCGACCCAACCACCGATGCCCTCATTCAAAAGACCATAAAGGACACATTCAAGGATTGCACGGTGCTTACAATAGCGCACAGACTGAACACGATTATGGACAGCGATAGGGTGTTGGTGATGGACGCAGGTGAGGTTGTGGAATTCGACCATCCTGCAGTCCTGCTAAGGAGAGGAGGTCGTTTCGCGGAAATGGTTCGACAGACGGGCTGTGCGATGGCTCAACAACTAAAAGGGATTGCTGAAGAGGTAAGGGCGAGCAAAATGATCCAACTGTACGATTTTTGTTGCAAATGGGGGTTTTTTTGTTTTATTTTATTTTATTTTTTTTTCAGAATTACAACAAAAATCGTCGAGTCGAGCAAAGGTGATGATGAGCAAGAGTGGCAGCTGACAAAGTGACGTCAATATAAAAGAAAAAGCAAAGATATATTGAACGTTATACGGAAATTTTACATAAAACGTACAACGTGTGTTGGATAACACATATATGTATATCCAATGTTCACAACGGTGTTGATTTTTTAATTTATTTTCGTACCCCAAAGTATTGTACGTCTGTTCTAATTTATTGATATAAGTGCGTGATTTTTATGTACGAATAAGCAGTGTATAATAATAATAAAACAAAATTTATGCATTTTTATGTATACGACAATAAATATATATTATCTATTTTACCTATACAACATCCTTGACGTGCATCTTTTATTTCTACAACTTTTTTTTCAAAAATGGCGCGCTGTTTTACTAGTTCTCACGATACCACAGAAGCACAGTGAACTGTGCGAACGACTTGCATCCAATAAAAAAAAAAAAATACCAAAAATTGCGGAATCGTTTGCAGGTTTTGCAATTGCCATGCAAAAAATTGTCAGAGTATTATTTTTTTGTAAAAAAAATAAAATGTAGTACGTCCTGCGAGAATCTAATAAAACTATTATTTCGCCTTGACGGTAAAGTTTCTACTATTAAAATTATCACCAGTCGTTTGCAATTTAATTTCCAGTGCGTGTGAGGATCGCAAAGTAGTCGAATTAGTTATATTTATTGAATAAATAATTATATTTATATACGAGAGTAAGTCGAGTAATCTTACTCCCACCCCAGGCCAGGGCGCATGCGCACTACACTCGAAAGTCGAAAGACGAAATACCAGCAATGGGATATAGTATATAGTTCCGGCCAGATTTGGAAATTCTCTAGGACCCAACCTCTCTGACGTGGGAAATCACTAGATCAAAAAAAAAATAGTACCGAAGAAGACGCGCGAGATTCAAATAAGGTCCAATAACACAAGCATCCATCACCTGATGACCCAGTGTGCTTACTGGCCACTCTGTTAAATAAATAATTATTAATAACACAAGCGCCTATCACCGTATAACCTGAGGCGCTAATTCCAAATCTAGTAAATAAATAATTATTCAGAAATATGTTAAGCACCTTTTTCCTGATGATCCAGGACACTTGTTTGCAACACTATTAAATAATAAAAAGTTGATCGATAACATATTAACCATATCACAATTTTGATTGCCTATCTAGTACGACAAAGATCTTTTTAATTGGCGCTCTTGTAATTACTTGATAATTTATTATTCAATAGTAGCCAGTAAGCGCCTTGGGTCATCAGGTGATAGGCGCTTGTGTTGTTAATAATTATTTATTTAACAGAGTGGCCAGTAAGCACACTGGGTCATCAGGTGATGGATGCTTGTGTTATTGGACCTTATTTGAATCTCGCGCGTCACCTTCGGTACTATTTTTTTTTTGATCTAGTGATTTCCCACTTCAGAGAGGTTGGGTCCTAGAGAATTCCCAAATCTGGCCGGAACTATATCCCATCGCTGGTATTTCGAATTTCGAGTGTAGTGCGCATGCGCCCTGGCCTGGGGTGGGAGTAAGATGACTCGACTTACTCTCGTATATAAATATAATTATTTATTCAATAAATATAACTAATTCGACTATTTTGCGATCCTCACACGCACTGGCAATTAAATTGCAAACGACTGGTGATAATTTTAATAGTAGAAACTCTACCGTTGAGGCGAAATAATAGTTTTATTAGATTCTCGCAGGACGTACTACATTTTATTTTTTTTACAAAAAAATAATACTCTGACAATTTTTTGCATGGCAATTGCAAAACCTGCAAACGATTCCGCAATTTTTGGTATTTTTTTTTTTTTTGCTGGATGCAAGTCATTCGCACAGTTCACTGTGCTTACCACAGAGGGTGGAATAGAATATAGAATTCCAACCCCTCTATAGTGGCTGTCGGTGGTTGAAGTTGCACTGCCCTTTTACAATAGTTATAATTTCCGTGTGTGTTCATTATTCGTTGCTAATTTTTGTTTTAACTCTTTTAGTTCGTAAATAAACTAATTCAAGCGCAAACAAGTTTCATCAAGTTTTTCAAAGTTGTATGTATGCTCTAAGGGAACTCTACACCATGCTTTGTATTTTGCGTGGGTGACAGTGTCCTCATCCACTTGGACTCTACAACAGAGGTTATTTTTTTTTTGTTTATTTATTGATTGTTGGTGTGATTTTTTTTTTTTTATATGATTGTTGATTGCGTTGTTGGTTTGAAATAATAGAAAAACTAAACACGTGCATGACCTTGTTGTTTATGCAGTGTTTACTATATTTTATTTTAACGCAATGCAGGTGTGTACGCGCGCACGCAACGACGCGTCGCGACGCACCGAACAAGAAAACAAATTTCAATTTTGTCTTTACAAATAACAGTTTTTAACTTTGGTTTCTTAAAAATAAAAATAATCGTCATAGTCTTTTGTAATAAGGTAAAATATTTATTATACAGGTAGTTTAGAGAGTCATGTACAAATACCAAGGATTCATCGAAGAAATAACACTGTCGTCTGACGATTCGCGTAAATTTTGAATAAATATATACATTTCGAATTACATTGTAATTAGTTGTTTTTAAACTGTTTTTTTATTTTTTTATTTCTAGTGGACGATAAGCTTGTTATTTGTGATAATAGTAAAAGTTCTCGAAACAATAATGCGTGTGCAAATGCAGTGAATTGTACACCCGCGCTCAACTTTAGTACAACAATAATCAACATAAGAGGAAAAAACATTAACGAAAGTCATCTGCAGTACTCGTCCACAAAGAGTTCAGATGCCTCAAAAACGCGTCAGTCTGGTTCTCCTGGTAAGTAAATATTTTTCCGCTGTAAATTACTCTAAAAATCATGATTTTTGAAATGCTATTTATATACTGATTTGAAACTGTATGGATATTCAACTTTTTTCAAAATATGGTGGTGACGGTTGTTTCAACAACTACAACATCCGCAATAGTTATCCATGCAATAAAAATATTGTAACATCACTTGCCACTGAAACTTTTGCACATGGTCCATAAACAATTCATGTTTTATCTTATAGTCTTGTACTAACTTATATAGGCATGTATATTTTTACTGTATTGGCATTTGGAAGTACTTATACCTACTTACAGCCACTGTACTACAGATCTATATACTGTTAGTAGGTCAGTACACTATAATATATAAAAAAAAACCATGTATACATGCATATATAGTTTATGACTCTGTGAGTCAGCCTAGGCTCTTTCAACCTTTACCCAAGCTTTCTATTACTTGTGATTCATTCTTTCCTTTAACAAAATTTTGTGGTATTATATTGAGTTTATAATGTATGAAATTTTCAAGTGATAAATGAACAGTTATTTGTGAACATGTACAGTTATATCTCAACCCTACTAATTTTGACGCATTCAATGTATTAATGAAATTGAAGAAATGAACCGACTTTTTTAAATTACAGATATTATTACCTTGGATGATGAATGGGATATCAGTGGGAAAAGTTTTAACGAAAAGCAGTACAGCGAAAAATATAAAGAATATTACGGCAATAATAAAGAAAGCAATAGTATTAATGATCCAGTCAGTAACGTAAATCAAGAAAAATTAAAAAATAATGCAAATAGAGGACAACATTCGGCTGGCTCAAAAACTGAGAATTGTAACAATAAGCAATATAATGAGACTTCTAAAACATTCAACATAAATAATGGAGAAAAGTGTAATGTTGCCGATAGTCGTGTGGGCATAAATACGTTATTATTGAGCTTGAAAAAAGAAACTTTCAAAGAACAAGAAATGACAGGTTACACTGCTCTCTTTGTTTTTTTGTAAAATATTATATTTTTTCCAATGAAAATATTAAAATTATTTTGCAGATGAAGAGTGCGATAAAAACGACAAAGACGTCAACCTTGCCATGGGTAAATTTGAAAAAGTTGCATATCCAATTAAAGCTGCTAAAATTCGTAAGTTATTTTCAATGATAATTAGCATGGTTGCGTAAAATCAACTAGTGCATGAATTACCTGACTGTTTTTAAAATCTCAATTGTGCACTTGCCAAACCATAGGTATACATTATGTTACCATTGTTCTATTGTGGATTGTACTGAATCTTAACCTTTTATTTTGTTATAAATAAATTCAACAATGTCAGACAAAAACACCTTTTTTCATTGACGGCAGGTACAAAGAGATTTATGCGTTTATTTTGTACCAAGTGTGATATTTCTCTGCGTTACCAAAAAAAATCCGACCTGGTTTTAAAAGGAACAGCCCGCTGTCGCAAGTGCTTCGAAATTTTGAGCTATCAATGCAAAATTTGCAATGGAAAGTTCTCATCTTGGTTAAACCTAATTAGTCACTTGAAACATGATTGTATACCAGACGAATTCTGGCGCTGCGTTCAATGTGATTATGTGACAACGTCGCAAGATTGTCTTCTGGGTCACGTCAAAAAATTTCATGATCTGCAAAATCCTGAGCGCAGCAAAAAGACGTGCAAATTAGGTACTAAATTGGCCAGGCCCACGATAAACCGTGAAGGTAGTAGCAAGTCAATGAGGATCAACAAAAGAAAATCGAAAAAACCCGTGCCCACATTGTCAAGCAGTTTTTCTACTGGTGCTGTATCTCGGGAGAAAGATGATGTTTTTGGTGAGAAATGTTTCCGCGTTGTTTTAATATAAAAAATTATATTACAAGATTTATAATTGCATTGAAAATTTTCAGATGATGAAAAATCACTTTTGCAATACTGTGCCGTGTGCATAAAAAATACAAACATCAAAAAGCCATACAACAATAAAAATTGCTTGGACTGCAACAGTCCATTGTTTTGGCAGTGCGTTTTTTGTGATCATAGAAGCAAATCATACTGTGGTATTTTTGATCATGTACAAAACGAGTGCAATAAATTATGTTTTTTTTGCGATAAAACATTCTCTAAAAGAGATGAATTGAACGAACATCAGAATTCGTGTTCAGTTCCCTCTCTTAGTTGTAAATTTTGTGAATTCCAAACAAAAAATAAACGTACTTACAAGAATCATTTAAAAATGATGCACAACAAAGAAAACATAGATATTGACTCATTGTAGTGAAAAATTTCATGAAAATAGTTGTAAAGTTCTTTTTATAGTACAAACAAGTATTGTAATTTTATTCAAGTACCTTAATTTTTTATATGTTTTTATACAAATAACGACACCAAATATTATTTGTAAAAGTCAATTAATGCGCGAAAAAGTTGTAATAATGATAGTAATTTTTGTACTTATCTTTTTTTTTTTTACCAAAAATTAAAGGAATCTGCTTTTTTTGTACATTCACGCAGTTTTATTCACCAACAACAGCCTCACATACAGGTAACATTTGCATGATGTATATTTGAATGTGTTCACGGAAAAAACAATGGTTAATAAACTTCACATAATTTTTCAAGCAATCAAGTCATTATTCCACAATATTTACACACATAACAGAGACACCTTTGTGAAGTAGGTGGCAGCAGCGCAGCACTGTATTGTTTGAAAATTGCATATTTTACCCAAGTGGGTCCAAGTCCCGTTCATCTCTCTACGGTTAACGTTTCTCACGACTGCAAGGGCAAATAACACTTATTGTATACAGCAACTTTTTTTATTTTGTTTTATTATTATTTTTTTTTTTCATCATTTATCTCAAGATACGCGACGAAAAGCAGAAAACTCGGCGAAAAGTCTACTACATTCGTAGCACGCAATCGTCCGATTGCACTCCTCTGACCCCGAGACCTTCGATCGTAAACACGCAGCCGGAGTCGGGCTTGTTCTGTCTCTCGATGGCGTTCAATCCTCCATAAGCCGATGTCACATAGAGAACGTCCAGATCAGGTCCGCCGAAGGCAACGCTCGTTAACTTCGTAGCAGGCAGCTCTATCTTGTGGATCAACTCGCCCGTTTTTGTATCGACGTTGAGCACCTTGAAAACGCGGTGAATAAAATCAGAGTCAAAATTGCGTTTTATTACACACGTTTCGAAATGACAATTACTTACCACGGCTCCATCGTGAACCGCGATCCATAAATTGTCGTTGGCGTCGATGGTCATTCCATCGGGGACACCGTCGATCTTGTTATCCGTAAAATTGAAAACCACTCTCTTGTTGGCTGTTTGAAAAAATCGGTTTATCGCACAAAGCAAAAGAAAAAAAAAAAAAAAATCGGCAAAGGGATAATAAAAATCACTTCTCACCTATGTTGCCAGAGGCAATGTCGTAATCGAAGGCGAAGACGACCTTCGTTGGGCTGTCGATGTAGTAAAAAATGGTGTTATTGGAGTTCCAGGCCAGGCCGTTGCTGATTGATACCGGTGAGAGCATTCTCTCCACCGTTTGGTCGTTGTCGAAGCGATACAGCGAGCCCTTGTCGTTCGCTATGACGCCATTGTGCTCTCTGGCCATCGTTCCTTAGATTAAAAAAAAAAAATAGGCACTTATATTTTTACTGTATTGGCATTTGGAAGTACTTATACCTACTTACAGCCACTGTACTACAGATCTATATACTGTTAGTAGGTCAGTACACTATAATATATAAAAAAAAACCATGTATACATGCATATATAGTTTATGACTCTGTGAGTCAGCCTAGGCTCTTTCAACCTTTACCCAAGCTTTCTATTACTTGTGATTCATTCTTTCCTTTAACAAAATTTTGTGGTATTATATTGAGTTTATAATGTATGAAATTTTCAAGTGATAAATGAACAGTTATTTGTGAACATGTACAGTTATATCTCAACCCTACTAATTTTGACGCATTCAATGTATTAATGAAATTGAAGAAATGAACCGACTTTTTTAAATTACAGATATTATTACCTTGGATGATGAATGGGATATCAGTGGGAAAAGTTTTAACGAAAAGCAGTACAGCGAAAAATATAAAGAATATTACGGCAATAATAAAGAAAGCAATAGTATTAATGATCCAGTCAGTAACGTAAATCAAGAAAAATTAAAAAATAATGCAAATAGAGGACAACATTCGGCTGGCTCAAAAACTGAGAATTGTAACAATAAGCAATATAATGAGACTTCTAAAACATTCAACATAAATAATGGAGAAAAGTGTAATGTTGCCGATAGTCNAAAAAAAAAAAAAAAAAAATACTGTGAGTAGTTTTATTTTTTATACTCTGCTTGACGGTCGACGACTCGAGCTCGACCTCGCCCAGTCAACTGACTGTTGCGTTTCACTCGATGCAACCACGAGAGAGATATGCTGTAATTTATCTTGTACGTGTGTACACAATCGAGCCATATATACTTACATTTGTAAATGTATATGCAACGCAGTGGGAAGCGAGTTTTATTAGTTTTATTGATACACTTTGCTTCGAGGTCGTCAAAGTGTGAACTTGCACTCAACAATTCAACAATAAAAAAATGTCACCGTTTTGAAAATGTTTACTTTGTCAATCGAGCCAGCAATATGAGATCGGTATATTTATACGTGTATTCGACATGCACGAAATCAAAAATCTTTTTTCCTAATATTTGTACGTTTTTCACTTATCACGCTAATAGTGTATTTTTCAATTTTATCTCGAAATGTATACAGAGAAAATAAAACATTATTAAAAAATACCAACATAAAATAGTGTGTACTTTTAAATATGTACACGCAATTTTTTTTACAAACAATAGGTGCCTAATATGTTTCATCACTATCACAAAAAGGTAATGTGTCAAAAAATCGATTTACTGTTAAAAAAATTAATGCTTGATGTTATTCCGCATTACCCGCCCTTATACGTATACGTGCATTTATATGCGTGTATGTATACGTATCTTAAAGTATAAGGGAAGGATCCAAAAGCCTATACATCATTTTAGTGAATATAACTAACAACGATAAGTGGAAAAAGGTACCCGATAATAAAAATTATCAAAATCCAGATTTAAGACTGATAATCAAATTTAATCATTAGTTACTATCAGTTAACTTTTTGTTTTTTTTTTTTGTTTTCATCTTGAATGACATCTCAAAATGCAAACAACAAACAAAAACAGATAACGATTTATGTAAATTATGAATTACAACTGATTGAAACTCATGTAGCTTATGATATCTATTATTTATTTATTTATTAAAGTAAAATTATCGAGTAACTGCTACAAATGTTTTATAAATTATAACCATTTTTTCGCGAGATCCAACGAGAGCAACCACAAGGGCCTGGTTGTGGTAATAACGGAGTTAAATCATATTTTTAAATTTCTTCATTTGTTACCGTTTTTTTTTTCATATGTATAAATAATTAAATAAATGAGATAATTTTTGCTTGGGTAGCTTTGTAAAAATAAATAAAGTGACGACATATAGAGTTAAAAGTTAATTTGCACTTTATCATCGGTAAACGAGTCTATACTTTTAGGATAACGTGTATATCATTATAGATGTATATTATGTATGCGGAAAAGCTGAGTATAATACATGATAACGTTGCACTTTCGGCCCAGTTACGAGTCATTAGAGAAAATTTAGATTAAATTATCGTAACATAAGCGACGAGAGATGGGTTTTTCAATATTTCAGGTATAGGTAAAACTTCCACAATAACAGTGAATGAAAAAAAACTTTACTCACAGCAAAACAGCAGAAAGCCAAAAATTTCAGAACCCCAGCCATTTTTTTTTTTTTTTTTTTTAAAAAAAAAAAAAAAAAAAAGAAAGAAAAGAAAAACAAACAAAAAGTTTTAAAAATAGTAGCGCACGAACCGGCTGACGAAAAGAAACTGCAGCGAGCATTCACCGGTATAACGCGGGGAGATCGGTGGTGTCTTTTATATTATACATACGATGCGATGTGTGTGCATATAATGCAAAAGAAGGTCGCCGGTGCGCGCGAGAGCGGCTTATGTGGGGGGTTTGCCGTTGTTTGGACATCGATGCTTAGGAGTTACAACTAACAGAAGCAATCATATTACATTACGTTTTTTATCGTTGCAGAATTTTTTTTTTCTTTTTTTTTTTTTTTTTGATTCGCGTGAAATATTTTTCTTCAAATTTTCAAAGAAATGAGCTATAAGTTCCATGGCATTGTTTGAGATCACAGACATAATGTTTATCTTTAGCGGTGTTTTTTACGCAATATATGTTTCTGTATCATCGGTTTATGACGTTCAAAAAAAAAAAGATATTGTTACACAATGTGTATGTATCATCTTATCACCGTACTATTATAATACAGCTCAAATACATTTAACAAAGTGATAATAATATTTTTATAATTCATTAAATTGATAATAAATATTATCGATTGACATTTCGAAATTTGCATATTACTGATATATATATAAACAAGACCAATAAAAATTTGAATGGGATGTATATTTATTGACTTGAGAAAAATTATTCATGCAACAGCCATCAAGTGTTTGTAAACTTAATAGAACAGGAATCGTATTTTTTTTTTTCTTTTAAATGCACGATAACGTCAAACATTGAACACCACTGGTAATTGTAAACATGTTTGGACGAATACATAATTACATTTCATCGTTAAATCGTAAAATATATCTCAGTGGTAAAGGATTAAATCAATAATAAAGAGTCGAGACTTTTCGAAATCGGTAAAATAAAATATAAATACATATGTACCTATATGTATAATAAACAACACTTACTCAAATGGGCCGAGGTAATGACTCCGGTGTTGGGGTCCAATCTGTGTACTTTTTGGCTGGTAATGTCCACGNATTTAATTATTTAAAAAAAATTAAACATCAAAAGGACTTAGATTATCGACCAGAACACTGTGCACATTGTTGTGTGTATATCTACTTAAGTTTCATCATAATATTATCTCCCCCTCGTCCTTTTTTTTGTGTCTTTATAGGTAGGTATATACTTAAGTTAACTGACGGAATCTCTGCGGGGGCTGTCGGAGCTGAACAAACTCACGCAGTCACAGCCCTCTCTGCAGCATCAGGCATCAGCATTCAGCATTCAGCAAGAGTGAAAGAGAGAGAGAGAGTTCGCGTTGGTATGGCGGTAGTTTGCCCGAAGATGTGGAAGATGTGCAGGAAGCCAGGAAGTGCACCAACTAACGGGCTGCATGTGTTTTTTAACGTTTAAAATAATAAAAAATGTTGAGTAAGTAAGAGCGTATGTAGAGATATCGAGATCAATCACAGCACGCGATCGTTGTGTGTACCGTTAATTGTGTCGTGTATACCTATACAACTGCAATACGAAAACGAAAAACTTGTATATGTTACATTCAATTTTTCAAGTTTTCAAGGTCTATGTAGTATGTAATATAGACTAATTGTGTGTGGAACAATCGCAATTTTGACGTGATTTACTTACAAAAAGAGTACTATTTACCAGTAAGTTTGTCAGAATTCGAAAAATAAATGATGAATCCGATGAGTATCTCGATTCTCTCGCGGTCGTGCACACTCAGTTTTTTTTTAGTAACACATAACCTACGAAAAGCGGCGTTGTCGTTATGAGTGTAGACATATGACTCAGGGGTGAACTGGTGAAGGGACTTGCGATTTTGATGCTCAATTTGAAGATTAAGTACGTTGGATAATAACTGAAGCGTAGATTTTTATCATTGGGAAGACCCAAGATGGAGGGCATGCCATCAGGTAGTAGCAACAAGTGTTTACTTGTAAACGATCATACGTTTGAAATTTAGTTTTGTTTTTCAATTTTTTCTAACTTTTGAATTACACTGTTCCTATTTTTTTTTTAGCTCATGAATATTTGACAGTATCTTCGTGCTACATCAAAGAGGAACTTGATCTTTCAAATGTGACTGATTATTCTGGTAAGTAAGTACATTTCATTGAAATAGTACTAAAACCAATGCTCATACTTTTTTTTTACTTGATTTCCAGATGATGAGCCAATGTACAGATATTACGTTGAACCACCTATTTCAAGTAATTAAAAATTATCAAATACAATACAGTACTGTAAATAGTAAGATTTATATAACTTTTTTTCCATAGGCACTATGAACAACAAAATTGCAAGTATTGCTTCACTTAATACTGGTATTAATGTACATAAAACCAATGTAAAAGATGAACATTCTGCTGGGCTAGAAAATTCTAAAAATTCAGATAAGTCTGAAGATGTAATGGCTGAAAAAAATTCAAGTAATAATCGCGTTGCCATAATGGGAGAAGAATCTGGTAAGATAAACAAAAAAAATTACTGTGTGATAGTTATACACAACAAATGCAATTAATATGTATTTCAGAAGATACGGACGTTGATGTTGAAAATGATTCATCTGATGATGAAACCAATAATATAAGTTTTCGACAAGAAAATAGCAATGCTATGGAAGAAGATGCATGGGAACACGACAGTTCAGAAGAAGATTTTGAACTCAAAATGTCCGATGATTCACGTATGTATAATGAAATAGACAAATTTCATATAACGTTCTCTCACAACATTAGAAGTCAATCTTATAAAAATTGTTATAGTAGAAGGTGATCGATTAAAACTCACTGAAGCTGATGACTTGAATGATGATAGTAAAAGTGAATGTGCAGCTAACAGTAACGAATTGAATTCGACCAAAGTCGAAAGCAGATCCTATGTGACAAGAAATAGAAGTAAGAATCTAACGCCTACCCCACAATCAACTAATATTAATTCTGATAAGTCAAGTGCATTAAAGCAATCAAAATCTGAAGCAAAAGATGAAAAAATGACTACTAGAAATTCGTTAAAACGACTTGATACCACAGTCATGGAGCAAAAAAAAATCAGAATTAGAAGAAGGATAGGTAAGCCTTTACTTTAATATATCAGAGTATTTTACATTTCATTCTGCTTCGTATTTTTATATGTAGTATGTAAAGCAGTTGAGACATGAAAAGTAAAAATGATATTTTAGCCAAAGTTCTGTGAAAAATTTCATAAATTGCAAAGCATTTAAATAAAAAGTCATTTATTAAAGCAAGAAATATGATTTTTCAGAAAAAAAAGATGCAGTCGTGAATTTTTGTCCAAAATGCCGTATTATACTTAAAATGAAAACTTGTAGTACTACTGTAAAATGCTCCAAGTGTAAAAAAACAATGAAGTATAAATGTTTGTTGTGTAAAAATAAAGATCATATAACTGATACATATTGCGGTGCTGCCAAACACGTCTCACTTCATCACGCTTTCAAGAAAAAAGCAAGTGATCATTATAAAATGAGATCAAGCTCTCGAATGAGCTCTCAAAAATCAACAGTTAATGAGAGCGAGACAGTAAATACTCAAGTAAACTCTCCGACGTCAACAATCAGTTCTCCAAAAGTAAAAGTCAATCCTCAAAAAACAGTTGTTAAACGAGACTTGGGTGAGACTTTTAGGCAAATATTTTTGAACATCTGACTTTGAATTATGATCTTAAATACAAAAATAAAATTTTTTAGTTCTGGCTGATATAGAAAAATTCACTATTCTGATTTGTTTAAAATGTAATGAAGTAGCTAGAGTTTACAACGGAAAAATATCAGAATGTGGAGGGTGCAAAGTAAAAATGATACTGACATGTTTGATATGCAGTCAATACGAGAATACTATTTACGGAATGTACCAGCACTTGCATGATAAACATAAGGAACATTGTACTGAGGAGCAACAAGGTATACATTGAATAACTAATTATTTTGTACTTATTTGCCATCATGTTGCAATTTTATAATTGTTAATTTTCGTTATGTTTCACAGACAATTCTAACAAGCTTACTAACGTTGAAAGTGACAAAAGTGAAAAAAAACCACGTAAGCATTATCTTTTTTTTAATGCAAAATTTAAAAGTTTTGTAAAAATAGTTAATGGTTTAATAATTCGGGTTGAATAATTTATTTAGGTATCGTTAGAAATAAAAGATGTTTGAAATGTAAGAGGCGATTTTTATCAACATCAACTGCTTACAAACATGCCGAAAGCTGTACAGGTATCGGAAATTTTCATTGGAAATGCGATTATTGTACATATCAAACGAATTTCAAATCAGCTTTGAAAAGACATCATTCAAGAAAGCATAAGGCCACAATTGTGAACAATGTAAATAAAAGTGGAGTCATCTCAAAGAATCTCGTCAAAAAAAAATCAAGTATGACTGACTTTTGCAATGTTATGAACCTTTGCCTTTATCGTGGATATATTAAATAATCTTTTTTTTTCGTCGATTATGGTTATAAAGTTCAAAAAATATATGTTTAATAATTATTACTTGGTAATTTTCATAAATATTAGTTGTATACTATGAGTAATATAAAAATTATTTTGTAGTTTCACAGAATAAGAAACCAAAAAATCAGTGTCCAGTATGTGGCAAGACATGTAAAAGTATAGATTCTCAAAAAAGGCATGAAATGTACTGTGGAGTTGCCCCACATTTAAAATGCCAATACTGTCCATACATGACCAAGTATAAGAGCAATCTAACTAGCCATACCAATCAGATTCACGCAGGTAAAATTGAGAGCGAGATTGTCAAACAAAACGAGGCTAAAGAAACATCTGCAACTCTAGATGCACCTAAAGCTCCCAAAGAAACAGGTAACTTTCATGTAAAATTTTATTTTCTGATTTCAATTATTTTTAATGTAAGTTTGTGATCTACTTTCTTACATTAACGTGTATTTAAAAAACAATTTCAAAGCCTAACTTTTATTTCATGTTCTACAGGAAAATCCAAACCTAATACTTCTTCCAATGGTAATTCGTCTTCGGTCCCTCTAGTAAAACGTAAGTTCTCATGGTTTTTTATTGATAAAAACAAGAAAAATACATTTTTTAATGAAAAATATGTATACCGTAGCTTTGCATGAAGTGGCTGAAGTAGTATGTCCCAAGTGCAACGAAAATAAAGACATGGTTCAAAACTTTAAAGAAAGGCATTGTGAAAAATGCAATACAATATTACTTTATCGTTGCATGGTTTGTAGTAAAACGTATGAGTTTTATCAAAGTTTGATGTATCATATGAACAGTTCTTGCAACCCAAGTGCTAGTTACGAGTGTCTCAAGTGTGATTATAAAACTTCGGTCTTGAATTGTATACAAAAGCACATTCGTACCCATGGCATCAATCCTTGGGATCTTACCTCGGCAGGCAAACGAGGAAAAGGAGTTTCCATGGAAATAGAAGAGGATAATAAAATCTTCAAAATAATAAAATATAAAGAATATCAATCTGAAATTGTGCCACAAGGTAGAAATGGAAAAATCACCACAGAAGAAAGTGCAAATGAAAAAATAAAGCCCAAAATTTCCATTCAGCAATCGACAATGAAATCAGAGTGCCCAAAATGCAAGATATTTGTTTTACATTTGAAGAAGCATTTAATATTTTGTGGACTTGAAGCTACTTCGAAATGCAAGCTATGCCCTTACAAAACAAAATATGGTTACAACTTGAAAGCTCACATGAGGAAAGTACACCATACTTATTGCAAGAGTAAAATCACTAAACGAAAACCCAATGATTGTGATAAGAAAGAGGAAATCATTAATAACATTGATTCAGATATTCCAAAAGTTAACAACATTGACTCAGATGTTCCAAAAGTTGTTAAGAAATGCAATGCGCCACAATTAAGTAAGAAAAAACAACCATAGTTATCCCTGTCAATTAAAATTGCATGAAAGTTCTCTCAAACTGAATATGTAAATTTTTAGAAGCTGAAGACTTGATGCAATCGTACTGTATCAAATGCAATACGTCCAAGGAAGCTCTTAAGTACGCGTTCAAGTGTCGCGTTTGTGAATCTCAACTGACGTACCGTTGCGTTAAGTGTAATGAAAAGTATCCAACCCGCGACGAACTTCGTGTACACGTGCGATTGCATTGGCACAAACCTTTTGCATGCCCTAAATGTTCCAAGACCTTTGGCCATGCTGAAAATCTTCTTATGCACGAAAAAATATGTACGGGAACGGTGACAACGATCTCAGTTGAAAATAATCCATAGAATTTCTTCAATTAGTGCAAAGAATTCTCACTTTATACCTTTATTTGCATTTTGCATGTATAGATTTTTATAAGATTTTACCGATTTTCATGAATTGGGATCAACAGTGTTACTACTTAATTAGTCAACGTAAACGCAGGCAAGTAGCATCTGTGATTTCTTAATTTGAAAAATGACTGCTAGAGCCAGCAAGAGATTACATATATTTTAATACAGTCACAGTTAGGAATGGAGTCTAGCTGAAGATCGAGTACTTTTTTCAACCCTAAGTTGATTCTATTATAATTTTTGTCCAAATGTATATATGTTGTGGGATGATAATGCCTTTTTTAAACTAGCTGGTACATTCTAAAATAGTAAATATATATTTTGTATTTAAAGTAAAAAATCGAATAAAAATGTTTCTTAAATTTAACTAATTGCTTAACTTAAATACCATTAATTGACATATTAACATAAAATTGAATATCTATAGAAGCTTGTTGAAACCAAATTCAATTTGCTCAATGAAATCGTCACAATTATTGATTCTTGACGATTTATAAAATTTAAAGACATTTAGTAGTATTTTTTTAGTTCAAGAACCGACTAAACAAACCTTTTTTTTCTCTACCCACGCCTCCATAGCCTGCAAAATAATAAAAATCAAATAAACAAATTCATTAAATCACTGTATATTTAAAACCATTATTCCTCATAATATCAAGTGCAAAAACTGCTTTCTCTTATTCATTTAATTATTGTAAATTAAAGTCTCTAGTACTAGACGACACTTTAAAAGTCTATATCCCTTTATAATCCAGTAATTATTTATAAACAATCGATTGAATATCACTTTCTGCAGCAGCTTGTATGGTTATAGGGAGATCCTAGGGAATTTTTTCTTCGTGCATAGTGGTGACGGCTGCATTGTGTGTAAAAGTGAGCCGTCTGCTTCTATGCAGTCTTTACAAATGGTTTGAGTTTGAGCAGTGAGCTTCAAGGGTGGTGTGTTTTCAGTGTTGGTCCGAAGTGAAGCCGCTAAGTGGTTTAGTTTGTCGACAACTGAGGCGAGGGATACATCGTATTTACACCTCGTGCTTTTTTACACTTTCTTGTATTCTTGTAAAAAAAAAAAAAAAAGAACACAAGTATCTAGTGCATGCAAAAATTGAAAAGTGAATTATTCATTAGTTACAATATAAACTCTTTTGCCAAGTAAATTTACATCCTTCTTTCAAGTTTATCAACGAATTGATATATACACGCATTAGGTTTTCTTTTTGACGAAAGTTGATACCTTATAGCGTTTGAAAGGAGATATCTATATTTGTATTGCACACAAAAGTAAGTTACATATATATACACATACCTGCACCACTGGCTTAATTTGTGTTTGGGCTTTTCCCCAGCTCATAAGTAGTATTACACTCGTCGGTGTCGGACTCTCGATAGTGCGATATCTGTCGAAAGTCAATAATAAACAAGAAATCTATTATTTTTAGAAAAAAATGGCTTTGCGACAGTTAACCCGACTCCCTTTTACCATGTTAAAAAATAAACAATCATTATTTTATAGTACAGCCATGGCGCAAGGAAAATTCAAACCCGTGACTCACTGTATCTTTGATATGGATGGCTTGCTCATAGGTAAGTATTTGCTCGATTTCCATACGTGTACTTTTGGATAACTTAAAAATACCCCTACTTTAACAATTAGTAAATACCTACGTTGCAGATGAGTGTTTTTATTCATGTTTTTTGCGCCCAGCAGCAGTAAACCATTGGCCACGCGCGCGTTCCAGAGGAATTTTTTGGGAATTTTCCATTATCATGTACATAATACTTACGATTTTCTCTCAATTTTACTCTGTCGGCTGCTGCTGTGCGAGTTTTCACCAAATTTTTGTGATGCTTATAAGTAGTGTCGGATGACGCAATGCACCCACTATCTTTATAGTCACGATAATGATCCGAGCTTTTACGGATTTTTGTTTGCCCGTTTGCTACGATGTTTGATCCTTTTTTCATTTTTTTTTCCTAATAATGAAGCCTAGAGTTGAATAATACAATAGCTGGATGAAAATAGTTTTCGAGACAGCTGATTGATTTTTCAATCAAGCGTATAGGTATATATGTTAGGCGTTTTCCGGGCTTGAGGTGTCAATGTCAAAGCTGTTACACACGCTATAGTCCATCAGTTGGCTTGCACGTACATACAGCCGTTTGATTTACTCTCCAAGGTGATGAAATTGGCAATTTTTTTTTTTACTAAGTATACTTTATTGAATGATTTTAATGTATGAATGGGCTTTAATGCCTAGGGTATTGCCGCAACTACAGCTCAATATTGTGCGTGTCACGTCAAACGATTATTTTTTAACACTAGTTATATTCTCTACAGAGTATAGAATATTGATTTTTAGTTGCATGTTTTCATCACCTTTGTGTAACTTTTTTGTAAAATTACCGCGTATCACGAAATAATTTACAAGTTGGCCGATTTAAATGTCAACTATCTTGAATAACAATATTACATCGTTTCTAAAAATTTCTAATTTTTTTTTTCTAGTTGGGTTTGATAATTAGTCAAACTAGAAGCAAAGCGTAACAAAACTCCAATGTTAATGCATGTATTTTATTACATAATATATAGTTGGCATACGGGTGACCTTGTCTTAAAAAGATAATCACAATTACTAGGCTTATGATAATGGTTTAATCTCCTACGTATTTCTAAATTTTTTGTAGATCTCCGTCACTGTCGATATAAAGCATGTTTACACAGTATGAAATTGAACATGTGTGTTAATGATAGTAAAAAAATGTTAAAATACCTATGAAAAGAAAATTAATATGATCCTGTGGTATCTAATACTTTAACTATTGCTTTTTTGTTTTTGGTTTACCCTTGACCAATCTCTTTATTAGATACCGAATTCCTGTACACAACAGTTTTTAATCGTATCCTTAGTCCTTACAACAAGGAATTCACGTGGTCAAACAAGGCCGAGACAATGGGCTTTCATCAAAGACCGTTAGCGCGTTACATGATCGATACGTTCGATCTGCCCATGCAGGTTGATGAGCTGTTGGAACGTCTCAAGGCTGAATACGATCAAATATTCCCCACGACTAAACCAATGCCAGGTGACTCAAAGTTTCAAATAAGAACCATCTAATCTTGGCTTTGTTTCCTCTGCTTTTTCGCCCGCAGATTCCGAAACGGTGTACAAGAAAATTTATTGTACTATCTGCGAGAAGTACGGCTACAGTTACGGCGGTGATCTGGCCTTCCAGGTGTTAGGCAGACCAGAGCGCATTGGCGCCGAACTTATTATAAACCATTACAAGCTGCCCTTAAGCATCAATGAGTTTCAGGATGCGTACCACCGCTTGCAGAGAGAAATGTTTAATCACGTTAAGATGTTGCCAGGTTAAAGATCAATTTATCCAAACATGCTCTACTTTTGAAGTTTTGAAAATGCCTTCACCATCATGACACTTGGCTGATGTTTATCACGGAGCTCTCTGTCAGCTTGCTTGTGTAGTTGTGTCATTTTGATGATCAATTTTGCGCCTTTTCTTTCACAGCCCACTTGCAAAAAGCCACATTTTTACATTTTTTTGTTTTTAGATAGCAGTAATTTTTTTTTTTTTTTTTTTTTTTTTTAATATACACAAAAAAAAATTTTTTTTCCATCTCGACTTCCACAACACCAGTGTTTCGTGTCCCAAGACTTTTCTTTTTTAGTTTGATCACAAATTTACTTAAAAGTTTTATTGATAAATGTTACTTTGATGTTACATCGAATTATTGTATATTACATGTACCTATCTCTAAGAAAGTTTTCTATTATTCTGATGATTTGATCAAATGGTTGAAAAGTGTACTTGAAAATATTGAGTAAAGTACGAAAGTGTATCTGCCAAGCTCTTGTGGATAGTACAAGTAAATTTCTTAATATACCCAACAATCATGCAAGAAAAATATTGATTGACATTACATTCATAATAACATTTTACCTTCAAATCGATCATTTAAAATTGCTTCATATAAGTATTGTCATAAAAATGTGAAGTTAAATTTAAAATGATTAACGCAAGTCTAAACTGCTGACAGGTGCTGAAAGACTGTTGCGCCATCTGAAGAAACACAATGTTCCTATTGCATTAGCCACAAGCTCCAGTGCAGAGAGCTTTGCCCTAAAGACCAAACACTTGACAGAAATGTTTGACCTTTTTCATCACAAGGTTCTTGGAGGCTCTGATCCCGACGTCAAAAAGGGAAAACCCAACCCTGACGTATTTTTGGTTGCCGCGGAAAGATTTCCAGATTCTCCAGATCCATCCAAGGTTTTTATAAACTTAAAAAGCGACATATCGTGAAAATTGAGATGTAAACGAGTAATAACTATTATATTTTAGTGCCTTGTATTTGAGGATGCTCCAAATGGAGTAGAAGCTGGAATTGCTGCAGGCATGCAAACTGTGATGGTACCTGACAAACATTTGCCAGATAAATTCAAAGAAAGAGCAACTCTGGTGCTTCAAAGCTTAGAACAATTCAAGCCCGAAGAATTTGGGCTTCCTAAATTTGACTAGATGAAAAATTAAAGAAAAAAAGAAAAAAAACTGTATCTCTTCAAATTCCGATAAATATATTTTTTGTCATCACAAGCAGAGCTCGCAACAGATACTAAGATGTATTATTTTTGTAGGAAATAATGGTTACTTGTACATTGGAATAGATAGTTCCTTAATAGGTGAATTATATTTATCAAATTACGAATGAAATTTGCGCTTATGAAAAAAAAAATAAAAAATAGAAAATAAACGTAAACAAGTTAACAAAATGTGTATTTATTGCTTTTATTGTGTTCATGTTCGAATTTTAACGATTTTTCTAAATAAACGTTAAAAAAAACACTAATTGCCGATTTGACTGGTAAAAATAATTAACCCTCTATGTACCCATACAAAAGTACGTGACACTCTTGTTAGAGGAGTTAATTTAATTGTCAACTATAATAAATTACCGTACATCATATGAAAATTAATCAACAAGACGAGTATTCATTCATCATACACTGGTTGCCTGCTTGAACGTCTGTACCACATCTTCTACGCTGAGATCTGACAGCGGGTAACACGTTTCCTTACCGTATTCTGCAACACACATACATAAAGCTGTTCAAGTATTGACTGTTACACAGTATATTAAAAACATTAAGCGGTTTTACAATGAGATGAAAAAACAACAAGTATACATGAATGTAGGGTACAGCAAATGGAAAAACTTACCAACGCGAACATAGAGCCGTGGCTCGGTGTTCTCGCATTCTCTAATCAAAATAGGTAGCGTGGGATTTGCCTTTTTAATCAATGCGTAATGTTGAAAGATAAAATTTCTGAAAAATAATAAAAATCAATTGACATTCGAATTTCTCAATGATATAACCTGCACATGTCAAACTTTACAACTTTCGTTTCGAAAAAAATTTAATTATCGCACTGACGACAATCGGTTAAACAAGTAGATGATTGTCAGGATAATTGTTTTACCTTGCACCGTCGCTGGCTTTCGACGTTTGGCACAGTAAAATTCGCAATTCTTTGATCTTCGTGCTTAATCTGGCCGCCGCCATTTTGACAGATTTTTGTAAAAATACTACAGAAATACTGAACGAGAGGCGTCTGCTAGAACTGTCTACTTGAGTCAAATGAGAGATTCATTAGTTTACAAACTTTTGCCAAAAAAATCTCTTGTAAACTTGTAGTGCAAAAACTAATGTAATTAAACCATAGTTTTGTAATTAAGTGGCTACAGTCAAATACTTTGATAAGTATTAAAAGAAACCCACTCTTGTCTTGTCTTATTCTTTATTTGGCTTTGGGTATACCTAATGGACTCCGTTACGCCACATTTCATGTTATGTTTTTAGAGGTTTTCATTTGTTGCCGTTTTTGATAACTGACTGCAGCGCGGTATTATACCGTAAAAGTCAGGAGCAGTCACAGTGATAATGCAACATGTGGAGAAAAAACCCCACAGAGGTAACGTGAGTGGACGGAGCGGGGAATCGAACCCAAGCCTCCCAGCAGGCAGAGGGCAAACGCTCTACCACTGAGAGGGCACTGAGCCACTGGCAGAACTAAGAAACCCACTCAAAAAATGTTCATGGTTTCTCGTTTGACTTCCGAGTATGGCGCAAAATTCAAAACTGACAGCATCGCGGGGAGAAAAAAAATTGTTTGCGAATGTAGTTGACAATCGGACAATTGTCAAAGTTCAAACAGCATGAAAAAATTTTTTAAATAAAAACTTAGGTTAATCAGGAAAACATGTTTAGACCATTAAATTTACAGTACATGTATACATAAAAAAAAATGATTAAATGAAAGATTTATACAAAAAAAGTTAACAAAAAATTAAATACAGATAAAATCCGTCGACTCATGAACCCAAGTTCGATCGCAAAATTCTCAGTAAATGCAGGTAAATGAGAGATCATCAGAACTATGTCACTTCCACCGCTTTTCGACAATCGCTTTCCCTGTTATTACAAGGAAAAGTACAGCTGCGTCAACATACTCTGGTACCAAGCTGACTTTACCCAAAGCAAATATCCTCCGGGTCAAGAAAGTAAGCCAATGCACACAATGAAGTACTTTTAGTTATAAACAAATTAAACAAAGTACTAAGAAACATCACGTCTTTGATTTCAATACCATCAGTCAGCGAAGCTTGCACATTAATTTGTTTGCTGGTAGCTTATCGAATAAGTCAACTGGACTTGCTGATTGGAGATATTGATGGTTGCCAGCAATTCAACATTGTAATTGCCAAGTCGATAATCGAGGGAAACAGAATACACATGTGTATCGTTGACAAAAAATTGGTGCAGAATCCGTATTTGAATGTCGAGGAGGCACTTCAATTTGGAGGCTCGAAGTTGAGTGCAATCAAAGAATGGGTATGATTGAAAAAAAAAAGACTTTTTTTTCACATAATTGTGTGTCAAAGCAGCATCAGAAGTTATTGTATTTTTAGAAATTTCAAGTATTTCACGAAGATTTGGAGTGCAGTTTATTTAAAAATATAAGGAGTTTTCTGTGTGAATGGTACAAAAGTCCGAAATCATCAAATTTATTCGTACTACTGATTACTTGCGGTAGAACGATACTATTTATATTCCAACAGAAAACTAAAAAGGTATGATTAACACACTATCTAGTTGAAAATATGGTTTAATCTATCAATTTTTTCATCAGGCTATTATATTCGACTCTCATGGTCACAACACAAAAAACACTAATAGGGGCCTTGTTGTAGCTCAAGTAAGATTTTTCAACATTTATCAGGCATAAATAAAATACCAATTATTGAATCAAATACACGTATTTTTCACTTAGGCTCCAATTTCAAGTTTAGAAGAATTATGTAACTGGTACATCAAAGACGTGATACAAAATTGTTATCAGGTGAGTCCCAATCAGTACGAGCTAACTTGTTTGTATCATCAGCCTGAACACAAGTCTGACAGTTGTAACAGATGCCAGTGTGGAATGTCTAACAAAAAATAACTCAAGTAACTAAAAAAAAAAGTAAAAGAAAAAGTATTATGCATAAAAAATGAAAAATTATACAACGAAAATTTTTTTACTATTGATAACCAGGATATTTAAATAAATTATAAGAAACAACACATGTCACTGAAATGTAGTGCTTTATTAGAACCAGCTCTATTTCAGATTACTGTAACGTCACGTTTATTTACATTATTTACAATCATCCTAACGCTCCTTTAAAGACTTGAATACTCGTGTTAAAAATTAATCGTCGAAAGAGACAAAAACATGACTACTCGCTGTAGTTTATTTTAATACATCGATGTTCTGATTTTTTTTTTATTTTTACAATAGACTTGCCGCACCTCAAATATATCAATACCGAAAACAATCCCTTTTGCCGCATTATTTACCTAGTTTTTCTCATTCTTTTCTTTCTTTCCTGGTTTTTTTTCTTATTTTATTATTTTTTTTGTTTGATAGTAACTTACGTTATTTATATTAAAATCTAGAATTGATTTTTTCATAATTTATCTTCATTCCTTAAATAAAATATGAACAGTTTTCTTTCGGTATAGCTAAAAAAAAAAAAAAAAAGTTATAAACACTAATCAATTTAGCCCTCTTACATCTATTATTATTTGCATCGCGGTACACAAAGACTCGCCGACTTTTCAAGTTCAATTTTTCAATTACATAATATGCTCTTTTTCCATTATTTTTAATCGTTTGGTCGTCGATCGTTTATTCACAAAAAAGTGGGTAACTTTCCTATTCATTATAGAAACGTCACACATCAAAAAACGTGACTTTAATCTAAGTTACATGCAATCATACAAAATAGCATAGAAACTGATGTACTACAAATTTAATTCAGGAATAGAATATGAAGGAAAAAAATTTCGGTTGAATACATAATTCTTGAAAATTTTTCGCTTTATCACAGCCTATGCACATGTTTGCTGCTAGTCAAATTAATATTAGAAAATAAAGTTATTGCAAAAAATTCCAACTTAAAATTTTTCTGGACTTTTAAAATTTATTGATTTTCTGATAAATGATGGTTCTAATATTAATTAGATTTTTCGTTTGTAAGAAATGCATGTAAAGTTGTGAAAAGTTGTGTATTGAAATCAATCCGTAACAAGTCCGACCCATACTTGTTCATTCAAAGGAACTGTTAATAAATTCTAAGAAAAATGCATATTTTTTATTTTCTGGACAAAATAGTAACGTACGAATTATTTGATTCTAAAAAACTCACGCTATAACTTTTGTCCTTATAACTCAAACTAAATTAGTTTCAGACGGTTGCAATTTAATTTGACACTAAGGACTTGCAATTTAAGCAATGTTTATCGACACCTTGTACAAAAAGTAACACAACTTGTAAATTTCAACAAAGAGCAGAACAATTCTTAACCTTTTGTAGCACAACTTGTGGTTGCTTGAGTAAATAAAATTAGATAGTGCCCAATATTAGTCGAAATTTTAATTGTGCTAAGTTTATACAAGGCATTAACTGTCCATTATTTTTTATTTATCGAATTTAATAAAATGCTTCGATAGTTTAGTGTACATCGGCATAGAAGAGGCAGAGAAAAAGAACGTTGAAGGTAATCTCAATTCATTCATTAAAAAAAAATAGCAAACTCTTGTGGCAGTCAAACAAGCCACAATTCTTTTTTCTTTTGTTACATGGCGTTTTTTGGTAGTTATTCAATTATCGATTGAAAACGATTTCGTGTGAAAAAATAATTTGGTGTCTAGGCAACACAGGTTTTTGGGAGGAAAAATATTTTGTCTTACGAATTCCACTTAATCTTGGTGGCTTCTGGCTCAGCTGGAAACTAGGTACAAATAATAATTTGTTGTCCCTCAAGTTAAAATTTGACTGGCATGAAACCAACTGCGATGTTAAAGTGACTGATGCTGTACTTGTGGCTGTGCCCACTCTACAAAATCGTCAATCAGTACTGGCCAGGCACCCTCTTCATCATAATTACTCATCGTTGGATTTATCATAAGAGCAAAATCTAATAGTAAATTCCATGTGTCTTTTGGAATGGACCTTTTGTGATGTTCCTGCATAAAGTAAAAAAAAAATTATATTGCAATTCACAAAATATAGGTAGCATTTTAGATGGATTGGTTAAATTGTAAAATTGTTCACCTGTAAGAATGCGCACCATAAATCTAAGAACTGAAATCTATCTTTTAACACAATATGCCAATAAGCAATTGCTGTATCTAAATCAAGTCCTTTTTGTCCTGAATTTTTTGCATAACTGAACGTGAACTGATACAAGTCTTTAAATTTCAAAGCATCTCTTAGCTCATTTTCTAAGCTACTCAGTCTGGCTTTCAATTTTTCTATACTATCAACACTAAAGGAAACGTAATTATGTACTTGAAATAAATTACTTAACAATACAATAGCTTATCTACTAACAAACTTAATAAAGTTATTACTTACCCTAGATCTGTCATGCCATTAATGAACTCTTCTTTTGTAAATTCACATTGTGTCTCAGCCTTGAATTTCCAAGCTATAATTAAAACCAGTTTGTTTTCTGGATGGAGACACAAGTCATCCAAGAACTTTATAACACCGTCTGCTGATATTTTGTCTGTTTCACCTGGATCTAAAAGAGGTAATCAAATGACTAGACTATAGTTTATACATGTGTATACATAATAAACCTTTCTTTATTCCAACAAAAGAATGGAACGAAAAATACCAAAAAGTAGACAAAGAAGCACATGAACGATTTAACAAATAAATACCTTGATATCGAGTATAGAGGCTTTCAAGCTTCTTTTTGTCTGCCACGTTTTTTGGCTCCTTGTAGTAAGCCTCTGGATTTTGGAAGTAATTGTCACTGGCCAAGTCGAGCTTCCAATCATTCTGAGCCAGGCAATATATAGCAGTTTGTTCGCCAGTTTGTGTGAAAGTAATAAACTTTTTCACCTTGTCTCGCTGGGAAAATTTCAACTTGTTCTGCAACAACACATAATGAGCTAGAATTAGTCATTGTGTCATTGGTCAGCTGTCATTGCTATCACAATCTCGGAATTCTCTCGAGTATTTTGCATTTTCACTTTTAAAAAATAAGCAACACTGAGAGAGATCTCGATGCAAGTATAAGTGGTGAAAAATCAAGAGACGTTGATGAATTATAAATCCAAGTGTATCGTTCCAAAATATGAGACTCGGAACACGCGAACAAGTCCAAGATGGACTGTCAATCCCTCGTCGAAGGGAATGATAAATAAGCGCGGTCTCCGCACGAACAAGAAAAAATGAAAGACGCTTGGGTTGTATAATATAAAGTTTACTTTTTTCAAAAAAATGTCGCGAGTATTGTTACGCGAAGAAACACTGTTTTTGTACACTTGTAGGTTAACAACATGGAACTAGATACACTTAAGAATTATAATCAACGAGTCTTTGAGGTTTCCAACGTAAACCCGTTGCATCGACACATTTTGCACTTGCGATCAATTTGACGATTCGTTAGCACTTTATTTACACACTTACCATTTTGTAACTGTATCTTCGGATGATCCTCCGACGACAACTCCGAGGATTTTCTGCTAGCTATTTTATATTTATATCACCACATGTATATATATATATATATATGTATATATATGTCATATAAACATATAGCACGACGACGAAAAATAAGCCAAACTGCGTACGTCCGACGTGCCGTGCCTGCATGTAGGGTTTTTATCTGGATATATCATATCATGACGTATTTAGTATTTATTGACGTGGGTGATACCGTGATACATGTGTGTATAAACTTAAGTATATAATATCCATGAAACAAAAAGGAAAATAGAGTATACAATGAAACATATTCAAGTATAAAATATACACTTACACACTTTCTTGCATAGAGGATCGATGCTTTCTTGTTATTTTATTTTCTATCTACTCCAGTGTTTTGCTAATCTGCACTCCTTCCATCAATAAATAAAAAAAAGATCGATGCATGATGCTGCACTTGATTTGATGTGAGAGTGATATAAATATATGCATGTACACGTCTAACATATTTTCTTATGATACTAAAGATAATTTAAAAAATACTGTGTCCAGATTTCAATGCTGCCAATCCTTTGATATATATTTTTTGATGACTTAAAGAATTAGTTTTTTCCCGAAAAAACTCTCGACTGATGATAAAAAGCACTCAGTGGCTGGGCTGACTGTAAGGGGCCTCTACCCAAGATATATGAAAATATGGGTTCACCGTTATTCAAAACCTCCAAAGAAAAAGTTCAATACGCAAAATTGAAATGAATTGCATGAAAATTAAGTATGAAATGGAAAAATTGGATGCCGAAATTGTCGATTACTCCTATATTGCACTTAATTATCTGTAAATTTACGTATAAAGTTAACTTCATAAGTTAAACGATAAGATAGATAACGTTCTTCTTCTGATGCGCTATAACATATATTATATATGAGGCACGTATAAATTTCGATGTGTAATACAATAGGTGTCTTAATACCGCCGTTAGGGTAACTTAAATTGTTAACTTCGTTGAGTCGGCTAAGTTGCTGATGCTGCGCTGGACAAACCTTTTCCTTTCCATTGATAGATAATTAAGTAAGTATACATGCACACGCGTTATACAGTTAACACACGCGATCTTATCAAGTTACCAGCGGTACTCTATACTTGTCGTTCGAGCTGGTGTCATCGATTTTTTTTCTCATCACAATTTATTAATCATTTCTTTTCGTGAGTTTTTCCGTATCAAGTGTTAAATGAGTAAGCTCTTGGAAAATCCAAACCCTAAGATATATCCAAAGTTAGAGGAGAAATTAGGAACAGATGAGAAATCTGAAAATGTAGCTCGGAATCCCGACGTGTACGATGCTCGAAGTATCTTTGGTAAATTATTATTTCTACAGAATACTTGCCTGACAGCTGTTTTTTTCTCAACTATTTTAATAAATTTTTTTATTTTATCAGAATTGTTGAGGAACATCACTGATCCTGAACACCCGCTTACTTTGGAACAGCTGAATGTCGTTGAGCAGAGTTTAATCGAAGTAAGTAAAAATTATTAAAAAACATTTTTGTAAAAGAATATACTTTTGCAATCAAACAATATGTATACTTGAGGTTTACATTTTATTGACTAAAGCATGTCATTTTATGTGTACTACTATATAATTGAGAATATTTGAAGTAACCAAAGCGATTGATTGAAAAACGAATTTTTACTTCTCCTTTTCTAGGTAAACAATGAAAATAATGAAATCAATGTTCAGTTCACACCAACCATCCCACATTGCAGTATGGCAACGCTCATTGGTTTATCAATCAGGACACAACTCTTGAGGACAATCCCAGCCAAGTTCAAGGTTAGTGTCACGATCACTCCAGGTACACATGTTGCAGAGACAGCTGTTAATAAACAGCTAGCGGATAAAGAGAGAGTTGCAGCAGCTCTTGAAAACAAATATCTTTTGACTGTCATAGAACAATGCTTAGAAAGTACTGTAGCAGAGGATTCAGATCCAGAAAAAGATGATGATTGCCAGACATGTGAATCATAGTTACCCTTGTTTTGAATACAATGCGTTAATCTAGTTTGTATAAAATATTTTAATACAGTTAAAATTCACGTGATTTAAATAATGGTTAACTAGGATAATGTATAAGTATCCTCAATTAAATTCATTGGAGGATTTGATTACCCTAATGGTAATAATAATAATAATAAAAATGATCTGTTAACACATGTATGCATTTTGTTCAAGTTCAACATTAGCACGTAATATGCTTCTTTATTCTTTTAAACTATGATGTATGATAAAAATATGGCTATTCTTAATACAAAATAAAAGTTTTTGTACAAAGCTCGAATATAACAAAAAAAAAAGCCTTAGTGTAGAAACATTTTGTGTATTTATAATTACATTTATTCTGTTTTGTACAATGTAAAATTAATTTCTAATAAAGTACTTCAAGCTATAAACATTAGTCTTTCTTTTTCGTTAAAATTGTATTTGCTGGATTTGATTTCGTGGAGTTTTTTTCGCTTGTTTTAGTAAAAATAGTATTTACAAGTTTTCCTTTTGTTTGGTCGGATTTTATTTTATTCTGAATGATGCTTGCTGGATGTGGTTTCGTTGGATCGAATTTGTATGTTTTTGGTATAGGTCCTTTACCGGCTTTTGTGAAAACCAGCGAGTCATACATTTCACGATCCCCAACATCTCGAGCTACTTTTATGTTTCTCCATGCTGTAATAAAATTTATCTTTTCAATTTAAAATGCTATCTCATCAAGAAATGCTATAATTTTAAAGAAAAACTTACAATCCTTAAAGCCTTCAACAAAATTTTTCCTCGCAATTGGTAACTTTTTGGTATCATGTTTAATCAATTCCGGAATATCAAAGTATGCCCTCACCTTAGGACGCCTAAGTACTGCGACTTGAACCAGTGAAAATAGATTGGTTGATACCCAATAACAAAGTATACCCTAAAAATGTTTGATCATATTTTAAGCAATACGTAAATGAAAAGGATCTGTTTTATCGTATTTTTAAGAAATAGGATACAATCATTTACTGATAATGTATAATTACCGCTTCGAATTTGATGATGAAGGGAAACATTACAACAGGAATCGCTCGGAGAACGTATTTGAGAAATCCCATGTTTCCTACTTTAAGAGTATCTGTTCCCATTTCGAGGGTAATAAAAAGAGTTGAACTTGTAAGCAACGGCAATAAGAAGTAGGGATCTGGTATGGTGAGATCTGAAAACCACCAGAGACCTCCTTCTTTCATACTTTCTACAGGTACATTGACCATTCCTCTAAGCCCCATGTAAAATGATATGAAAATAGGTGCCTAAACATGGATTCATAAGTAATGTATGACAAAACAATTGAATCGATAGAATTTGGATCTCTCTTTTACCTGTAATAACGGTAACCATGCATTTTTTCTTGGATCAATATTATTTTCTTTCATAAACGTAAGAAGCTCATTTGTTAACCTCATGACTGAAAAAATTTTCCATTTAAATTAGATTTGAACGTAGAAGAGATTTTTGTAAGTGAATACAAATAAAAAATGAAATAAATAAATACCTTCATAGTTGTCACCCATCCTGCGAGCATCCGTCAATTGTGCTTGTATAAATTGCATTTCTGGTTGTACATTGTTCATTCTTGCTGCATATCTTTGCATTCGTATAACTACCGGGAACATCATTGTTCTAATAAATACAGTACCTAAAGTACAATGAAAAAAATAATTTTGTACACATGTTAAGTGGTTTTACAAATGAACTTTTAAGAAAAATTTATCGACTCACTTGCCATGATACAAGCCCACCAAGGTAAGCTACCACTGACGTGCAAATATTCCAGTGCTTGCTGTACCATACCAGAAGGATACCAGCTACCAAGACCTAGACTTTTAAATGCAGGCTCTCCTACTGTTTGCAAAACTTCGATTATCTCTTCGACCGGAGTTGGTGGCTCTAAACATTGTAGAATGTTGCAATGCATAAAAACTCTTTGATAAATTTTTCAAGTACCATCCATTATAGAACTCACCAGGAATTTGTGAAAGCAAATCATCTGTGCTTGACGTATCTGTCGAAAATAAGTGTATTGATCTCTATGCTCACTACTTCAAATTTTAAGTATACTATTGATAAACAAAGTACGAGTACCTGTGACATTGGATACACTGTTTTCGTTGACGTCTGATGCATTGACTTCTTCTGTAATAAAAACCAAACGATTTCACATAAAACATCTTCGGTTTCCTTCATCAAAACGTGAACTATATATCCTTTACACTCACTTGTCGGGCTCGTCGATGCATCTTGCAATTTGACAGCAGACAAACTTAAATGCCTGGTGTAACCAGCGTTCGTAACCGGCACTCGGATCTCGTGACACCTAACTTGCAGCCTCAGTCCCAAGTTGCGACAAGCCAAGTGTAGTGACCTGTACGTCGTGACGTTCTGTAGGAACATAATATAGTGAGCAAAAAAAAGCAATTACAAAGTATGACAATTGAATAGACCTGAAGATACTGCACAAATAAGTTGCACGTTTAGCACGAATTAAAACCTAACCCCATTCTGAATAAAGCCGAACACAAAAACTATTATGATTTATGATCTCACTTGAACAGTAAAGCTTGCTTTAGCTGTGATCCTGCGGTTCAGGCTGATGAAACTACGCGAGAACATAATGAACTGGTCAATTTGACAGCCGTTCTTGAAACTTTGTTCCCACAAGTGCGATGTCTATGTTATAATTGTCTCTTTTTATTGTGCAATCGCAGCCACGGGCATGTTTACGTTCGGCTGCAGTCGCTGCTCTACTGAACTACACCTGACTATACACTCTGAATAAGCCTCGCCTTGACATAAGTAAATATATAACTGCAGTTGCAATAAAATAAAAAAATTTGTTTTTTGTATATGTAAGTACTAAATATTTATAAATATTTTACCATATATTCGCCCTTGGATATCAATCGGACCCATGTTTTATATTTGGATATCCTTTCACCATCAGACTTGTAAAATGTTTTTCCAGCAGATTAGTAATTTTACTAAGTTAGCATATATATGTTTTACTTAAGTAACAGCGATTTTACAAATTTACAGCCCTTTTGGTGTATTGGACGCGTTTCATGACATAATTGTTTGTGGCGTCTCACGGTACTTACCTATACTTATACGTACTCGAATAAAATTCCTAATTAAATAAGTCAACAATTGTTGCGAAAGTATTTGGTCACCCTCTATGTAAAAACAACAGGATAGAAAAAACAACCAAATAAGGAAAGTAATGAGAATTTTTTCCAGGACGGGATTTTGAGTAAAATGTTTCTGCAGGGGTATAGAAAATAATTACTATAATTATTACAGACATTTTTATGAAATTCTAGATTTAAAAAAAAATATCGCTTTCGATTTTTGTGTAAACTTATTTTGGAAACGATTTCTTTTTTTTTTTTATATGATAAATTAATGAGCTATGATTTTGGGAAATAAAAGACAACCACGGGGTTAACAAATAAAATCATAAGACTATAATCTTTACACGGTAAGTTTATATTTAATGATAAATCATAACTGTGCTTAGTTAACATGTACACGTGATTCGAACATACTTTTTTTTTCTAGCATACACCATACAATGATTTGAGCTTATTGTTTGGAAGACGTCTTGGATTAGCTTATATTCATGAATTCGTGATAAATCTACGCTTATTATTCAAATTTAAAAGCGCTTACAAAAATTCGACTTGGTGATTCATATGAAATGATTTTCAATCAACTTGTGTTTGTATTAAGTCTGAAAATCCTACGTTTTGTCACCTACAGTGGCACATAAAAATATCAAAACACCCCGGAAATAAGTACCTTGAGGAAATTGCAGACCGCATGTTTCAGTTCCTCAAAATGTCTTGTTTTGAACAAAATCTTAAATGCCGAAGAAAAAGGTTTCATCACGTCTTTGAGGATCATTAGAACCTACATTAGTGAGTTTATCAAACTTATACATACATATTTAGTTGGCAAACCCACTCAAGAGGCATGAATAGAGAGTATGTGTTGAAATTGTAAATTAATGTAACCATAAAAGTATAGCAAATAAATCTTTCGAGACTAGGGAAGAAAAAAATGATTTTTTTATGGATATCTATTGGTTGAATTGAATGTTTTTAATTAGTACGTCCTAGTATTCTTTCATAGCATTTTTATTAAAAAAAAAAAAAACACTTTCTTTTCTTAATTCCTTATAATGTAATGAAGGTTTTTTTCTATTTTTCTTTTTATTTTATTTTTTTATTAATGCTCAACGATCTGAATATTGATAGTTCAAAAATTACAAAAGCGCAATCATCAGTATAAAAATAGTCGAAAACGAAAGATAAATAATTTTCGACAGCACGGAATGTCCATTGCTGATTCGTTTTTAATGCCACAACTGACTTTTTAATATAAACTAATTTTTATTGGAAGAGATGCAATGTTGGCGTATGTTTTCTAGTCTCTTACATTACTACGTGCGTTTCTACACGACGGCTAATTTTTATTATTAATAAAAAAATTTATTTTCTTGAATTTTTTTTCAACGTGTGTAAAAGACGCAGAAAAATTAATTGCATGCGAATTACGTGGTGGCTCTGAAATCCAAAAGTTAGTCTAGTGTTTGGTCTTTGAATATCAAAACGGTTATTAAGTACTCAATGAATTCTACAAGTATTACTGACAGCCGCATAAACAATACTGCAATAAATTGTAGGCCATTTGTTATATACTTCCTCAGATATGCAGTAATTTTGATAAATACTTACTTTCAATTTTGCACTTTGGAGAATTTTTTGTTTCATTTTGAGTGTTGGAGTTCAATACATTTCCATTTAATTGAACTGAAAATAACTTGTAATGCATTTATATGATACAAAAGTTACTCTCGGTACTTTGGTACCATAAAACCTCGACTAATGTCTTATCACACTGCCTTACTGTAGAGCAAGACTTTTTTTTTCTATTGTAGTATAGCAGTAATAAATTAAAATTCAAAAAAGTTGAATACATTTGACAAGACGCACAATCGCTACAAGAACCTATTTCAAAGTACATGCAAAAGCCCAAAACACGCAATTCGTGCACATAAAAATTATGTTCTCTTTTCTGTTTTTCATTGCTCGTTTGCGCACAGTATAAAACGAGAAAACAATATGCAATAATGTTTAAAAAGGAGGATCAGTTAAGATTCAGTCTCATTTTGATGATGGGGGCGCGCTGTAACTTTTTAAAGTTCATCCTTGTTGTCGTCGAGATCAACATCGCTAAGATCAATGTCCTCTACCTGTGGTGGTTCGGCGTCCTTACCGTCCCAAGGCTCAGTTTCGTAGATCTTGGGCAGTTCTGTGCCTCTAAGTTCTATTGTACTACCTCGGCCGAAGCTAAGGTCACGAAGGAACTCGTGAATGCCGCTTTCAGAAAAGCTGCCCTTCAGTATCGAATACTTCTTCTTTTTGATATTGACGGCAGCCAAAGCTGGATAACCGAAGCCACCGATCTCCAAACCCTTTTCGATTTCGGGTTGAGCATTGGCTTCAGCCCACACCCATCTGTAAAATTACCGTCGTACAATCATGTGATCATTATTTTGTATTATTAGCTTGAAGCTCGACACTTACCCCCACATGTTCTTCTTAAACTTCTCTCCAAGGTTATTCAGGATCTTCAGGTAGTCGTTTCTGCAGTCGGACTGGCAGTCGAGAATATGCGGCAGTATCGAGACAATGCAGAGTGGCTTGTCTTGGCAGCCGCGTTTTAAGCTCTCTTCGTTGACGATTTGAACGATTTCAGGCGCCGGCACGCTTTCCGAGAGCTTGTCCAAGGCCCAACTGACAATGTCGGAGCTGGTTCGGCCACCATTGTAATCCTCGGCCGAGTCCTTGTCCTTTTTGCCCGCACCGAAGACTTTGATTGTCGGGTAGCCCTGTATTCCATACTCACTAGCCTAAAATAAAACGAAAAAATTCAATAGTCACATAAACTTTCGAACGCAAAAAGTTGTAAGAGATTTTTCGATCGAAAAAATCTGATGGAAGGATGCTTGATCCATCAACTTGCCTTGGCAGTGTTAACTGTGGCATCGAGAGCGCCAAGCTTGACCTTGCCCTTGAGCTCGGTAGCTGCCTTAGCCCAGTGGGGAGCAAGATTCTTACAGTGTCCACACCAAGGAGCAAAGAACTCGACCAGCCACAAGTCCTCAGATTCCAAGACCAGTTTGTTGAAGTTGTCGTCCGTGAGTTCAACCACGTCCTTTGAGTCAGTGCTGCCCTGGGACTTGGATCCACCGCCAGATTTCTTGCCACCTATAGCTGCATGAGCCTTGTCCTTGGCAGCATTGAAGGCAGCATCGATCAAGCCGGCAGCTGTGCGCGGACCACTGTAATCCTCGGGCTTCTTCTTGTTCGCCCCAAAGATTTTAATAGTTGGGAAACCCGTGACCCCAAACCGGCTGCCCAGGGATTTGTGCTCGTCGGCGTTGACGGCACCGACTTTGATCATTCCCTGGAAATGTGAGATTTTACATAAATAACGTGCACTTGTACACTTTAATGATTCAGTTTAGAACTTAAATGGTCAAAAGAGGTCAAACGTATCGATGTAGTGAAAAAAAAAAATAATTACCTTGAGTGCCTTGGCCAGTTTTTCATATTCAGGTTTGAGGCTTTTGCAGTGCCCGCACCAGGGCGCATAAAATTCGACGATCCAAATGTTTTCGCTGTCCGCGACTTTGCTCTCGAAATTGCTGGGCGTCAGGTCGACAACGCCAGAATCGGACGAGTAAAAGCATTGCACTCCCGTTGCTGCCAGTAGCAACAACGTCAATCCTGTTTTTGGAATAAAATAAAGTGTAATTAATTGATAGGAGCTATTTTAACAGTTGAAAACTACTTTGAAAATTTAGCCAGTTCCGTTCGGAATTTCAAGAAAAAAAAAAAAAATCATTTCTGTAACGGTAACTTCTGCAAGCATTATTTTTGATACATAGCAAACCATTTCTTAAAAAGCTTTTTTTTCTTGTTTTGGGCTGTTGAGACCATTTTGTTATATAGAAAAAAAAAAAAAATTTCTGTAAACGTGATACGACAGAGGTGCCTGGTGCAACCAAAATTCTATTTGACGAATTTTTATACCGAAACGTATTCTGCAGAAATGATATGGTAAAGTTTTTTACAGAATTTGTGGAAACGGTTGTACTTTCATATTTTTTTTGGCTAAAAATAAAAATAAAATGGTCTTATGAATTTTTCTCCAAACAGAACAATTTTTGTGTAAAAAAATTTGCTAAGCTTCGAAATTTTTTATAAAAATTCATAGGTGTTAGAGAAATTGGTGAAAACATTTTTTTTTTACTATGGCTCACCAAAGAGAAAACGAGAAGAAAACACATTTTTTGTTTTGAATAGACATATTTTTCATTATCTACAGCAACATTTGCGATAACTGCACGTCGGATGTTATTTCGGATCAATTTCTAAAGCTGATGTAATTATGACAACGCCAAACGATTTAGAAAAAAAAATTTTTGGAGTCATAAGTTTTTTTATACAAATAGTGCAAGTTTTGACAGAATGATCCATATGTATAAAACACACATACCCCCACGCACCATTCAATTATTCAAGCACAAAAAAAGGATATAATTTTATTCAAGAGAGATTTAGTGCTTGTAAGAAAGTTGGTAAGTATACCCTTGTATATCTATATATATTTTTATCAAACGAAAGTTGATTCATTGTATTATTTGTATTATTTGTATACCACACACAATCGGTATATATATATATGTACAAGGGATGTAGAAGACTGACGACTCCAAAACCCCACACAAATAAGTAAGTACGTAAGTATATTAGCAACTGAACGAATAAGAAAAAAAAGTTATCTTAAAAAAAAAAAAAAAGTAGTGGTATTTTGGAGCACACGTCGCGGTCAAAACTGTATCGTAATTAAATACAAAAAAACCAAGTAAAACATGGATACTCACCGATCGACATGGGCACGGTCATTTTTATCGTCTCGTGATGAGAGAAAACGAGCAAATCTCCTCACCGATCCAGCGTCTGGTCGTCTCTGAATTAACCAAAGCCCCGACAAGATTCTCTTTATTGTTTTGTGTGACCAAACGAAGCGAATGCGGGAACCCCAACCCACGTATTACTTTAGGCTTGATCCCGGCCCCGGTACATTTGCGATTCACACGTATACACAACAATATATATATAATATGCCTTCGCTCATGATCAACAAAAATCTTTTTCGTGGAGTGTTCCCATTGGTCCACGATAATTCGATACACACTCTTTCTTCGATGTCGAATGTCGATAGTCGATAGTCTCACGACAGAGAGAGAGAGAAGAACTCCGCTCTGCCAAGATTACAATGCCTCTACTAACATAGTTTCGTAAATTAACAAGAATACTCTTTATGTAACAAAGTTATTATTTTTAAATCTTGTGGTCAATCATTTTCATTTTAATGAAAAAAAAGGTTTGCCTGTGCATGTGGCTACAAATCGAATTTGTGGATACCGAGTTCGAGAGATATCGATCGAGGTTTTCGCGTTGACATTTGAAAACCTTGATTATCAGTCAAAAGTATATTATAACGGGAAACGACATTCGAAAGTACTAACTGAGTGGGATGGATCATGGGTGGGTGTGCATGAATAAATAGCACCACGTATACGTGTATGTGAACGTTTTTATTTGTATTTCTCTAGCATTTCAATCTTTTTCTTATTACCTTATAAGTACTTTTTTTTTTTTATTTTGTCCGCTCAAAGCTTTGTTTTTGCTGTATTACTTGATAGAGTTCAGTTATTGTGATTTTTATTTTTTACGAGAAAAAACCATACACATCAATAGCACACTCTCATAGCATAATTATATGCCGCTCAATTTATCATGTATACATATTACGTTAGTTTTTTGTAAATAGCACGCAAACACGTTAATTATGTTAATATAAAAGCGATGCAATAACGTGGGGTTATTAAATCACAATAATTATGACTTGCACAACTTTTTTTCTTCCTTTTTCATCGTTAAATGCACTGTATACATCGCTTTTTTTGCGATGACACTTATACACCTGTATACGCTTTAGCAAATACATATGACAACAATATTAGCAAAAATAGACGTTATTTTTCGTAAAAATTGAGGGGAAAAAAAAAGAAGAGTCATTTACTTCAATGTTTAGACACGATAGGTATACTTAATTCGTATAATAGACAAAACATTAATTGCAAAGGAGCGCAGAGTGCCGAAAGCCAAGGCCGCATGCATGCTCGTACACGTCAACAATGACGATTTTCTCGTTTAATTTTTCTTCCAGTACAAGTACGAAAGACATTCAATGCTACACTATTAGTGAATTTGTCTCGGTTTTTTCATAAAAAATTTTATATTTCATGTGATTCTCTCTCCCAAGAAGAGATGGTGTTTCAAGGCAGTGCAACGATAAAAGGTTTTCTTAATTACCCAGAGACAAAGGATTTACCAGGTAAACTTGCTTCAGTGAACGATAACAAAGTTCTTCAACAAACGGTTCTCTTATAGCGGTGCTATTTGCGTGGTATTTAAGAGATTGCAAGGCTTTATTTTTCAATGTCCGTTTCAGCCACTGAGTGTCAAACATATCCGGGAAGGGTCTCACTTTACGTATATTGCAAGTAAAAAAATTTTTCGCCAAAATTTTTACCAAAAATCTGGTATTTAATTAGCAGCAAAAAAAAAAACCAGTTATATTCCCTCTATGTTTTGCTATTTTCAATTAATTTTCTCACTGTTGCACGAGTCTTCCGCTTGTTTAACTATTTTTTCTCATAGGTAACTAATTGATATACTGTGTATGATATATATGTATATATAGATAATGCAGAGTAAAACACTTTGAAAGATATATCGTGAATTCATCACAGAAGCGTCATATTTAATCATTGATTTATATATAAGATACTCACTATACACTCTGAATAAGCCTCGCCTTGACATAAGTAAATATATAACTGCAGTTGCAATAAAATAAAAAAATTTGTTTTTTGTATATGTAAGTACTAAATATTTATAAATATTTTACCATATATTCGCCCTTGGATATCAATCGGACCCATGTTTTATATTTGGATATCCTTTCACCATCAGACTTGTAAAATGTTTTTCCAGCAGATTAGTAATTTTACTAAGTTAGCATATATATGTTTTACTTAAGTAACAGCGATTTTACAAATTTACAGCCCTTTTGGTGTATTGGACGCGTTTCATGACATAATTGTTTGTGGCGTCTCACGGTACTTACCTATACTTATACGTACTCGAATAAAATTCCTAATTAAATAAGTCAACAATTGTTGCGAAAGTATTTGGTCACCCTCTATGTAAAAACAACAGGATAGAAAAAACAACCAAATAAGGAAAGTAATGAGAATTTTTTCCAGGACGGGATTTTGAGTAAAATGTTTCTGCAGGGGTATAGAAAATAATTACTATAATTATTACAGACATTTTTATGAAATTCTAGATTTAAAAAAAAATATCGCTTTCGATTTTTGTGTAAACTTATTTTGGAAACGATTTCTTTTTTTTTTTTATATGATAAATTAATGAGCTATGATTTTGGGAAATAAAAGACAACCACGGGGTTAACAAATAAAATCATAAGACTATAATCTTTACACGGTAAGTTTATATTTAATGATAAATCATAACTGTGCTTAGTTAACATGTACACGTGATTCGAACATACTTTTTTTTTCTAGCATACACCATACAATGATTTGAGCTTATTGTTTGGAAGACGTCTTGGATTAGCTTATATTCATGAATTCGTGATAAATCTACGCTTATTATTCAAATTTAAAAGCGCTTACAAAAATTCGACTTGGTGATTCATATGAAATGATTTTCAATCAACTTGTGTTTGTATTAAGTCTGAAAATCCTACGTTTTGTCACCTACAGTGGCACATAAAAATATCAAAACACCCCGGAAATAAGTACCTTGAGGAAATTGCAGACCGCATGTTTCAGTTCCTCAAAATGTCTTGTTTTGAACAAAATCTTAAATGCCGAAGAAAAAGGTTTCATCACGTCTTTGAGGATCATTAGAACCTACATTAGTGAGTTTATCAAACTTATACATACATATTTAGTTGGCAAACCCACTCAAGAGGCATGAATAGAGAGTATGTGTTGAAATTGTAAATTAATGTAACCATAAAAGTATAGCAAATAAATCTTTCGAGACTAGGGAAGAAAAAAATGATTTTTTTATGGATATCTATTGGTTGAATTGAATGTTTTTAATTAGTACGTCCTAGTATTCTTTCATAGCATTTTTATTAAAAAAAAAAAAAACACTTTCTTTTCTTAATTCCTTATAATGTAATGAAGGTTTTTTTCTATTTTTCTTTTTATTTTATTTTTTTATTAATGCTCAACGATCTGAATATTGATAGTTCAAAAATTACAAAAGCGCAATCATCAGTATAAAAATAGTCGAAAACGAAAGATAAATAATTTTCGACAGCACGGAATGTCCATTGCTGATTCGTTTTTAATGCCACAACTGACTTTTTAATATAAACTAATTTTTATTGGAAGAGATGCAATGTTGGCGTATGTTTTCTAGTCTCTTACATTACTACGTGCGTTTCTACACGACGGCTAATTTTTATTATTAATAAAAAAATTTATTTTCTTGAATTTTTTTTCAACGTGTGTAAAAGACGCAGAAAAATTAATTGCATGCGAATTACGTGGTGGCTCTGAAATCCAAAAGTTAGTCTAGTGTTTGGTCTTTGAATATCAAAACGGTTATTAAGTACTCAATGAATTCTACAAGTATTACTGACAGCCGCATAAACAATACTGCAATAAATTGTAGGCCATTTGTTATATACTTCCTCAGATATGCAGTAATTTTGATAAATACTTACTTTCAATTTTGCACTTTGGAGAATTTTTTGTTTCATTTTGAGTGTTGGAGTTCAATACATTTCCATTTAATTGAACTGAAAATAACTTGTAATGCATTTATATGATACAAAAGTTACTCTCGGTACTTTGGTACCATAAAACCTCGACTAATGTCTTATCACACTGCCTTACTGTAGAGCAAGACTTTTTTTTTCTATTGTAGTATAGCAGTAATAAATTAAAATTCAAAAAAGTTGAATACATTTGACAAGACGCACAATCGCTACAAGAACCTATTTCAAAGTACATGCAAAAGCCCAAAACACGCAATTCGTGCACATAAAAATTATGTTCTCTTTTCTGTTTTTCATTGCTCGTTTGCGCACAGTATAAAACGAGAAAACAATATGCAATAATGTTTAAAAAGGAGGATCAGTTAAGATTCAGTCTCATTTTGATGATGGGGGCGCGCTGTAACTTTTTAAAGTTCATCCTTGTTGTCGTCGAGATCAACATCGCTAAGATCAATGTCCTCTACCTGTGGTGGTTCGGCGTCCTTACCGTCCCAAGGCTCAGTTTCGTAGATCTTGGGCAGTTCTGTGCCTCTAAGTTCTATTGTACTACCTCGGCCGAAGCTAAGGTCACGAAGGAACTCGTGAATGCCGCTTTCAGAAAAGCTGCCCTTCAGTATCGAATACTTCTTCTTTTTGATATTGACGGCAGCCAAAGCTGGATAACCGAAGCCACCGATCTCCAAACCCTTTTCGATTTCGGGTTGAGCATTGGCTTCAGCCCACACCCATCTGTAAAATTACCGTCGTACAATCATGTGATCATTATTTTGTATTATTAGCTTGAAGCTCGACACTTACCCCCACATGTTCTTCTTAAACTTCTCTCCAAGGTTATTCAGGATCTTCAGGTAGTCGTTTCTGCAGTCGGACTGGCAGTCGAGAATATGCGGCAGTATCGAGACAATGCAGAGTGGCTTGTCTTGGCAGCCGCGTTTTAAGCTCTCTTCGTTGACGATTTGAACGATTTCAGGCGCCGGCACGCTTTCCGAGAGCTTGTCCAAGGCCCAACTGACAATGTCGGAGCTGGTTCGGCCACCATTGTAATCCTCGGCCGAGTCCTTGTCCTTTTTGCCCGCACCGAAGACTTTGATTGTCGGGTAGCCCTGTATTCCATACTCACTAGCCTAAAATAAAACGAAAAAATTCAATAGTCACATAAACTTTCGAACGCAAAAAGTTGTAAGAGATTTTTCGATCGAAAAAATCTGATGGAAGGATGCTTGATCCATCAACTTGCCTTGGCAGTGTTAACTGTGGCATCGAGAGCGCCAAGCTTGACCTTGCCCTTGAGCTCGGTAGCTGCCTTAGCCCAGTGGGGAGCAAGATTCTTACAGTGTCCACACCAAGGAGCAAAGAACTCGACCAGCCACAAGTCCTCAGATTCCAAGACCAGTTTGTTGAAGTTGTCGTCCGTGAGNATGTCCGTTTCAGCCACTGAGTGTCAAACATATCCGGGAAGGGTCTCACTTTACGTATATTGCAAGTAAAAAAATTTTTCGCCAAAATTTTTACCAAAAATCTGGTATTTAATTAGCAGCAAAAAAAAAAACCAGTTATATTCCCTCTATGTTTTGCTATTTTCAATTAATTTTCTCACTGTTGCACGAGTCTTCCGCTTGTTTAACTATTTTTTCTCATAGGTAACTAATTGATATACTGTGTATGATATATATGTATATATAGATAATGCAGAGTAAAACACTTTGAAAGATATATCGTGAATTCATCACAGAAGCGTCATATTTAATCATTGATTTATATATAAGATACTCTTTTTTAGAATTTTTTTTCTTTTTTTATTTTACATATACTTCTTTAATAGGCGTGTAATCTATAATTGATGGTTCATTATTTGTCATCATGTTGGTGCAACTCGTATTATTACAATCATCGGGTATAAAATTTTTTATTCTTATCTCAAGCCTTTGATAAAGCACTAGTGTATATATATATATATATATGTTTTCTTTAGTAATACAAAACAACGCATCTTCGTGATGCTGCGTGTTTGAAAATTTCCAACGTAAATACAAGGCTGTGTAAGCAGCATCTGTGTCTTTAATGATTATTTCCATGTAACCACGTTTGGGCTTACTATTAAAAGTATTACTGGGATAATTGATTTTATATCTTCTAGTCATGAAAAATTAACTCCATAGGCTCATTTTATTATCTTATCGTATAAAATTCAAGGAATCGTTTAATACTTTCAGAATTTCAATCGATTAAAAAATTTGTATACAATGACTTGCATATAACTCCAGCAGCAATACAAGTATCTGAATCGGCGTATATATATTTTGTGGAAACAGCTGAAAATCACAAAAATGGCAAAAGTATGAAATATACATATAAACAATTACAGAGCATAAAACATTATTTATCCAACAACAATTCCTGTTAATGCGTGCAAAAAATGATTCATGACAAACTTTTATTTATTTATCGATTGTTACAAACATACAATTACTTAAACGTAATAATAATAAACATATGTAGCAAAATGTACTCGAAATTTACTTGTAAAAAGAGTTTGCGGCGATAAAAAAAATATTAATCGTTAGTTACCAAAAGTCTATCTTTCAAACTCAGTCAAGCAAGCAGTCAAGTTCCTAATAATCACAATAAAGCATCAGCAATCGAAATCGGTTGCTCATTTTCCAGCTGGAAACCAAGTTTCCAAACTCGAGAAAATCCAGAGCGACGATAAGTAGTCTTTATTTATTATTTTTTTTTTCAATCCGCAACGACACAGCAGTTTTCAACTTGCCCAAACGCTCGCAGTCTTTAAAGAATACACGACGCATGCAAGCGCGATCAACTACAATTAATTTCCATGGCCATTGTTCGTACCGCAAAAAAAAAAAAAAAAAAATTTAAAGTAGATACAGAGCTTTGAGCTCCGCGCGCACGTTTGCGCAAACAAACACTACAGTGCCTACAACGTATATTAGCGTTTTTTTCCTAACGTATTATTATCTTTAAAGTAAAAGTATAAAAAAAAAGGCAGTGCTGTCATTGTTGACTCTCTTGAATACTCGTAGTCGTTAGTGACGATAATGGCTAAACGATAAAATGAAAATAAGACAACTCGGCGACAGAAGGTATATAGTGACAGGGCGAGAAGCCGTGGCTTGGGGAAGCGAAGGGAGGAGCCGGTGTTCTTAGCCGGAGCTTGCAGTCTCCTGGTTGGCTGGCTGCTCGTCGTTGCCTCCGCTGCCCAGGGACTTGGACTTGTTCGACTTGATGGCATCGACGCGCGACTGTAAATCACAAACCCAACCATTTCAACTGTTTGTCTATAGCACTTGCGTCAAGGTATGCTCATATGTATATATATTATGTACTCACGCATTTGCGGATCTTGTCGAGGGTCTCGCGCTCGATGGTCTTGCGCCGCTCGCCCGCCAACTCCAGCTTCGTCTTGATCACGGTGTCGAGCTTCTGGGTCTGCTCGATCTGCAAGTGGCGCACGCGGTTCACGTGATCCTCCTGCCGAAGCGACGAGACCATTGATTCAATGCTCAAACAAATTTATTCCCTTGTATGGATTAAAACAGTAATGAACTCACGTGCTCCTTGAGCCGTTCGACCTTGTTCTTGAGGTTCATTTCACGCTGGGCCTCGGCCGTCTTGAGCTTCTCCTCGATGGCGATGCGAATCTCCTCGTTCTGGTGCTCTTTGCTCTGCCTCGACTTCTCGACCCCCTCCAACTGCAAGTCCAGTTGAAAAAAATAAAAGAAAATAAACGTAAATAGTGGAGGAAAAAAACAACATATTTGGCCTCCACAACTAGAACGGGACCCGAACGACTCACTGAAATATCCTAAAAAAAAAAATGTTATTATTTATGAAAGGGGGGCTCACGTGGTCCTTGATCTTCTTCTTCTTGTCGGCGTAGTGGGCCTCGCGCTTTTCCTCGCTGCTGGTGAGCTTCTTGTCCAAAATCTCGCGGGTGGTGTTGACGAAGCCGCTGGTGAGTTCGTCGCGCTTGCGGGCGGCCTCCTCGATTTTGGCGGTGCGGGCCGACAGGTTGGCCATCTTCTCTGCCTCGAGGGACAGTCGGCGCTCCTCGGCGGCGCGCAGCTTCTCGGCTACCAGGGCCGGGCTCATGGTGGTGGGCGAGGTAGGTCGGGTCGGCGACGGCGCGCGCTTCGCCGGGGCCGTTGGCTCCGCGAGGATCACCTCGTACCGCAGCCCACCCTTGGTCTTCTCCTGGCACCGGATCTCCGTAGCTGCACGCCGATTTCAACAACACATACATGTTACTACTATAGTTCTTCCCTTTTTTGTACATGGGCTTTCCATATTTTCCATAAACACACTACGGTTCTTATCATGAAAAATGACTGTGAGCAGAATCAAACGTAACATTGAGTTCAGATGAAACTCTGCCCCAAAGTTTCGGACCGGGTCGTCCAGCAAAAAAGTGCGAGAAAAGCTTGTTAAAAAATTAAGATTTAAACGTGGATTCTTAAAAAAAAAAAAAAAAAAAAAAAAAAAAAAAAAAAAAGAAATATTTTACAATGTTTATTGCAAAAATAATATCTACTTTTTTACAGTACCGAAAGAAAAAAAAATCGGTATGTATGTATATGAAACTTTTCTGCTGAGCCTTGCGATCTGAAACTTTGGTCGGGTACATTGATTGGTTCAATAAACGAAATCCAATAACATTTGTTTAAATTTCACGAAAAATCACCCAACAGTCTTTTGATCACATCAAAAACCTTACATAGCCGTTCGAGTAATCAACGCTTTTGTCATCCTTGTATACATACATGAGATGTACATCTTGACGTTTGTGATAAATAATAAAAAATAAAAAAATAATAATAAATAGTTTTTTGTATTTGACCATAGGAGCATAAGCTCGCGGGAATAAATGTAATGAAATGACGTGCGTGCACGTACAGTAGCCGAGACGCATCCATCCTATCTCGCAGAGCTTGAAAACCCCATACGTGCATGAGATTAAATCTATATGCAAGCCTGACCAAGTGCGTTGAGCTCAACGAATCGGTGTTGAGCTTCGTCGATCGGTTCGTTTATAAACTTTTGCTCCAGTACAGCCCACGTACAATCAACCCTTAAAATTCCCCTGACAAGTCGAAAGGTAATTTTTTTCATGAAACGTCAAAGGATCGCGTTGAGCTTGGCGTTCACTTGCATTTCATTAAGTATATATTACACCTTATAATATATATACACCGAGAAAAACTCGAAAAAAAAAAAAGGATTAGATTAGTCTCTGAGAGAAGAGTATATGTTATTATCATCCATATATAGAAGCAAATTCATCGTTGCATCTTGCTCTTGTCGACCCTCTATATATCCGATATCATCGTGTCGGAATCTACCCCTCGCAATGTCACCTCCCCAATCAACGACACGCAGAGCTCCGAACCTTATTTACGTGCATGGCCACGTAATTGCCCATGAACCGAGGGGGTGGGGGGGGGGGGAAAGACATGCTTGTCTTTCCTTGGAGTTCAACGAGCAGAGGGACGAAAGGGAGAGAAAAGGGGATTTTATATACATGCCCCCCTGTGCGAGCGGAAAGACACATGGAGTATGACTCGGTCTCGGAGGGATACGGATCCCTCCTTCTATGTACTTATATGTACACTCTTTTTTTGGCAGGCCTCCCCTGGCTTTCCTCCCTTTTTTTCTTTTTATCACCCCTTTTTGATTAAATTTGTTTCCCCGTAGACTCCGTGTACTGCTGTTTGGGAACAAATTTCAACTTTTCATGTCACACACACCCGAGGCTCGATATATATTATACCAAGTATACAAGTTACGGAGCTTTTTGCAGAGACCGAGGAATTTGCGGATCTCCGAAGTGCTATTGGCTTTGACAAAACCCTGTTGATATGTACTTTTTGGTTTATTTTAAAAGATAATCCATGGTTGAAAATTGATGGCCTCTACGCTGAGGTGTACTCGCTATGACTGTCTATAAAAAGACACGGGTAAACTCAAGAGAGTTGCCATCTATTGAAAAAAAAAAAAAAAAAAAAGTACGAGGAATCAAGGAAAGACCCTTGCAATGCACCCGGTATACATGTGCAGGTATATTGTTTTGTATGAAAGCTCGTCTCTAGCGATCGACGAAGCACGAGTCTCGCGAGCAAAAATGATGGATTCCCATGCAGGCGTATAAAGAAAAGAGGAATGAACAAAAAAAAAAAAAAAAAAAAAAAAAAAAAAAAAAAAAAAAAAAAAAAAAAGAGAGACGAGGGAGAAAAACCCGTTCACTGCACTCGCCCAAATAAGGAGAGTGCGGCGATGCCTCCGAATCCCAAACTGGAACTCACGTTGTCTCTCTCCTGGCAACGTTGTCACCCAAGAAACGTACCGAAGATCGAAACTTTATATCCCTTTCGAACGCCTACTATGTGGCATAAGTGTACCTATATATAAGTACCAGAATACATCCTGCAAGCCAGGCGTGAAACGTGCCCGATACGAGTATCGAGACCGTTATATACACGTGTTTCATAAACCGTATTGTAAATAAAAAAAATTAAAAAAAAAATTGTAACGATGAAAAACAAAACCTGTAGGTATAGGTAATCGGAAGACTTGCCCCTTTCTTCCGCTTCCTTGTTCTCACTTGGCGATAAATGCATATACGTTTGTATATATCCGACACACATTTGTATAATGCATATTATACATGTATCCCTTTTACTCCCACCTATATATACGCCAATTTCGAAAAGTTTTCCGCTCTCCCGATAAAAAAAAACCATTTCCTAGTAGTACCTACCTATAGTGCACAATATGCGCTTTCATATTTTTGATATAGGCGCATTGTGTTGTGCTCACTGTGTGGGATATATAGATAGAGCTGTTGCGTCTGCGATTCCTGCGTATAGGTATATAATTATGTGTGTGCTCGGCTTTGTCTTCGCGATGATACCGATACTACCTACTTACTACCTATTGTTTCCATCGCGCCGAGAGTTGAATAAAACCATGTGCCTGTACTTATAAACGGAGGAGAGAAAAGAAAAGGGATAAGCGATTGTATGCATGTGCCACTGTCTGCGATGTACAATGCGTCAGTCGTTTGTTGCAAACTCGCTCGCGCGGCTCCATCAGTCGGCGTCCCGAGAGAGACACATCCGTGTATGCATCAGGCGAGTATAGGTACTTAGCGAAAAGTGCATTGAACCGCGATCGCCTTTTTCTCCTGTGCGATGATCGTGCGCTTCTTTCTTTTTTTTTTAAAGAGACTTTCGACCATATACGCTCTGAAGCGTGAAATCAAGATGATGTGGGTTTTGGAGTTCTTTGAAGTTGAGCTTGTACTGGCCGACTTGCGACTTTTTGTTCTCGTATACTCGGCTTTTTTTTTTTTTTTTCAAATTTAAGTAGCAAGATGACTATATTATTAGAGAATGATTAAAAATCATGATATTAAATATTGTGCAAGAAAATGTTTCAGAAATACACACTTGATTTAATTTTCGTGTCAAGGATCATGTAGGAAAAATTACATTGGATTAAGTTTACAGTAAAATATAATGAAAAGTGATAACTATACTTGATTTGATTATCATTTAAAAAAAAAAATAAATAAATAAATAAATAAATAAATAAATAAATAAACAATTAGACTGAAAACTATGTTTGATTAAAGTTAAGATGAAACACAATAAAACGTAATTTTCGAATAAACCTTATTTTATTTTAAAAAAAAATGATTTTTTTTTTTTTTATTGTTACTCATTCATTCATTTATACCACGGCAGTAAAATTAAAAATTGTGAAAAAAAAAAAAAAAATAAAAAAAATAACAATTTATTTGTAAAAACCAAAAAACATTTTATCGAAATTTTGTTTTAGTTGGTAAGTGTGGTATGCTTGTTGATGAATGAAGTGACTAATATGCAATTAATAATACTAATTTTTATCGCATATAGTGGAGTTAAAAAATGTATGGTAATGAAATCCATTTGAAGCGAGTCCTACATAAAATATTTACATGAAATTCACAGCGACACCCGACAAAACGGCACTTTTATAGTGCACAACAGCGGCGACCTTTATTTTATCACATGTGCATCCCTTTTTGTTGACAACACGCAAATCCATGAGAATTGAAAGCCATCTTTCTTTCCCCAACTTGGGCAGCTTTTACTATCACTGGCATGAGGTTGAGTACACGATAGTGGGAGGGATAAGGAGAGAAAAAAAGGCTCAGTGTTCGCGTTCCTCTGGAATTAAGGAAATACATCGCCGAGAGCCAGGGAGAAAAGTGTGCAATGCTCCCTCGCTTGGAAATTTATCGGCTCTCTCTCGTCTTTGTCTGTGCCCTGTCGATTTTTAATGTACACTTTCGTACACAAAAATAAGATGAACCTTTTTTTTCCTCTTCTCAGGTATAGGTATATTTCCCTTGGTTCCCTTCGGGAAGTTATTGGTTGGGTAACGCCGCACTGTTTGAATTCGTAATGGTCAACACACGCGTTGGGGTCACGCTAACTTTACATTGTGTATCGATGGAATGTATATATACGTATATATCAAATGACGACACGTAGAGAAACGGAATGGTAAATTTTTTATTTAAAAATTCCCCCCTTAAAAATCCGACTAACCCGTAAGCGTCAAATACGAGAGATGTGGAAAACGAGCCGCGTTAAAAAAGTGGCAAGGAAGAACAAACGAAAAAAAAAAAGGGAGCGCTTGCAAATGGCATTTAAAAAGGGGAAAAAAAGAGGAATGTAAACGAGACATGAGTGTGGTGCACGTGTGTTCGTACTCACTTATGAACTTGACTTTCATGGGCTGTTTGGTGCGGAGCTTCCCCTTGGCGATTGGCTTCTTCGCGGGTGACGCACCCTTGCGGTGAGTGGCTGTACAGGAAAAATAGCCCAGAAATCGTCCACATCAGAGCTTGGTTTTTTTATTCTTACACTGTATACCCGTATGATTCTGGGTTCACTCGATTATATTTTACTCAATTTTTTTCTTAACGGAAAGTCGAGGCCGAAAATCGATTGACTGTACCGATTATGCGCGCATTCACTTCCCGAATTGAATATTTTTCAGACCTTACCCCCCGAAAAAATATCCAATGTTAAATTTATACTTTTGCAATTTTTCCAAAACAATATAAAAAATTAGATTCGGGAAATAAAGAACTTTTGTGTACTATGGCCAAGCCCTGCAAAGATAAACGTTGTCGTGTAAACGACATTTCCATTTCTTTGATATTGCC